TTATGTCCCTTTCCACCCATCTCCTCCATGTTTCCCGTGGCCTACCCCTGCCTCGTGCTCCTTGTGGGTTCCACTGCAGTGACTGTCTTGTGATGTTTCCGCTGGGCTTTCTTAAGGTGTCCCATCCATCACCACTTGACTTTCTTGGTCCTACTTCTACTCCTATATCCTTTTGTCCTGTCCTTTCCCACAGCTCTTCATTTCTTATTCTATCCTGCCACTTAATTCTTAGAATACTCCTCATACATCTGTTGATGAAAGTCTGGATTTTATCCAGTATTGTCTTCGTTGTCTTCCAAGTTTCACAGCCGTAGAGGAGCACAGACTTGACGTTTCAGTTAAAGAGTCGAATCTTGGTGCGCAGTGAATTTTGCATTTAGTCACCCCTAAAGCAAAAAACTAAAATCCTTCATGTAAACAAAAAATCCCCCCCCCCCACATTCACACTGTGGGTGGTTGGCGAGTGCTCGGCGGGTGCTCAGGTGTGGCAAAGTCAAGTCTACCCTGAGCCAAGAGGGTGCTGAAACTTTCCAAAATCACAACAAATTTCCCCTACCAGGTCTGTATCCTTCTTGACTTTGTTCATGGTTGTTTTTGTTTTAGTAGAGGTTTTATGGTGCTCGCAACTGCATAAAGTCATATGAGCGCTAACGGGTGGATGTCAACAGAGAAGTCGTTACAGGGAATCAGACTTACTCTGCTCACCTCTCTAGCTTCAACAGCACAAAGTCTGCTTTGACTGTCAAGACCACATGAGTGTGATTAACATACAAAAGAAGTAGAGGAAAATGAGGACAGATCTAGACCTAGATCTAGTAAGGATTAAGAAAGAAAAAGCAGTAGTTCCCTGTTGTAGTTCAGGCACAGCTAAGAGCATGACGCTGGATCAGCCCAATTACAATTCGAAGTGGTTAGCCGTACTTAGATCTAGGTTCAGCCCTATCGACTCAAACCTGTTGAGTACACAGGTCCAATTAGATCTAGATCTAGTAATTATTCAGATTTAAAATACATGAAAGTCAGTAAGGCACCTTTTGGTTTTGTCTGAAATACAAGTACTTTACGCATTGCAAATTAAAAATTTCATTTACAATTCAGCCATCAATAATAAGTACGGCTAGCCTGATTGTCTAGCCGTCCTTAAGTACGGCTAGCCTGCCAGTCTAGCCATACTCATCTTAGGCCCTACTAGCATTAGAAAACAAGTCTCAGTAGTAATTATTCAGGTTTTAAATTCAGTGGAACTTGGATTCAACGAGATGAGATAGATTCCGTTTTCTTCCTCTTTAAAATCAATAAAAATAACCCGGATTCAACGAGCACTTAAATCAGCGAGCTCGGATTCAACGAGGTCGCTTCCAGAGTGAACAGTTCCCGTAGACGTGGCTTCGCTCATTTTTCTCCCAGAACGGGGGCACCAGCAGTCCGGGTGTTGAACGTCGCAGATACAAACATATCAGTCTTTTTTCCCATTCGGTTACTGATCATTATTACAATGATAAGCTAGTGCTAGTCTTCACGTAGATCTACGTAATGAATTGTGAGCTGGTCTCTGGAATCAAAAGTTGCTGTATGCTAGGCTCTACACAGTAACACCACTTTTTGGTAAACATTCGAGATGACACAGGCGTGTGCATTTGAACGAATCGCTCTTTTTTTTTTTTTACACAGCTCATAATACACAGGCATTTCAGGCACTACTTGTGACTTCTCTTTACACATTATGTGCTCAGTGCCTGTAATAATTTACACAAAACCTCATGTTTGCTATAACGAACACGGATTCAATGAGATTTTAAGTCAGGCCCGGCGACCTCGTTGAATCCGAGTTCCACTGTACATGCACTGACATTAAGACACCTGGTTTCGTCTCAAATACAAATACTTTAGGTACTGCAAACTAAAAATTTATTTACAATTCAGTAGGCCTTTTTTTGGGGTCAGTCTAGCCATTATATCACAAATAAGTACAAGTACGGCTAGCCAGCCAGTCTAGCCTTAAGAGCACGGCTAGTCAAGCCGTCATCAAGTACGGCTAGCCTCTTCCTTTACAATTCTACTGTGCATTAGAACGAGAAATGCACCCCCCCCCCCTTTGGGAATGGCCTAAAGACACTTCAGTCAGCGGCACCCCCCCCCTCCCAGGGGGATTTACCGGGTCTATGTGCGCACACTCCCTTACTAAAATGCTAATAAAAGTAGAAAATCATATTTTATATTTCCAGACGTTTTCACATTTTCATATGTAGGCTAGATCTAATGGGAGTGTATACAGACCCGGTAACCAGGAACCAAGTCACAAAGTATACAGACCCGGTAGGGGAACTCTTTTGTGATTTCGGAGAGTTTCAGCTCCCTCTTGGCTCAGGGTAGACCACAGAATTCTACACTTAGTGTAGAATTCTGTGGGGTAGACCTAGATCTAGGTTCTTCAAGATCTATGGCCTAGGTCTAGATCTAGACTAGATCGAGGCAGACAGACATAAATCTTTGATCTAGTTTCCCGGCTCGCCTAGATCTAGATCTAAAAGAAGATTGCGGATGTCTTTTCGATAAGCGATCGTTTTTTCCTCCATTTTGGAGTTGGAGGAATCGCAATTTGAAGAAAGGCCATCTCTATTCTCACCCGGGGTGAGAATAGTGCAGGCGAGTCTTTTGGCTATTCTCACCCGGTGCGCGTTCACTTCCGTCTATCGGTGTGGATGATCAAATTGATAAAAGCCAAGAAAAAATTACGTTATAGCACAAAAGTAAGCTAATTTGATTGTCTTCAAAGATGCTATGGCTATTTCACTGTTTGAATCGAGCCGAACTACGCGGGTCGCCATTTTGTTTTGACCGGAAGTTCTCGCAAGATCTACTCCTCCCCTCTCTCTCTTTCTGAATACTGTCTATCGGTGTGGACGATCAAATTGACCAAAACAAAGTTAAAAAATGATGTTAAAATACAAAAGTAAATTAATTTGGTTGTCTACAAAAAAGATGCTATGGCTATTTAACTTTTCGAATCGAGCCGAACTACGCGGGTCGCCATTTTGTTTTGACCGGAAGTTCTCGCAAGATCTACTCCTCCCCTCTCTCTCTTTCTGAATACTGTCTATCGGTGTGGACGATCAAATTGACCAAAACAAAGTTAAAAAATGATGTTAAAATACAAAAGTAAATTAATTTGGTTGTCTACAAAAAAGATGCTATGGCTATTTAACTTTTCGAATCGAGCCGAACTACGCGGGTCGCCATTTTGTTTTGACCGGAAGTTCTCGCGCTACTCCTCTCTCTTTCTCTCTCTCCACTGCCCACAGACAAAATTGTACGCTTTTAGTAGGCTACTGTTGTAATGGAACATTTGTTCACGGCACAGAATTCTACAATTTTTCTGTTATCACAGTGTAGAATTCTGTGGTTTAGGGTGGACGCAAAATTTGTTGGCCTAGATCTAGGCTATAACGGTGAACGCGCACCGGGTGAGAATAGCCAAAAGACTCGCCTGCACTATTCTCATCCCGGGTGAGAATAGAGGTGGCCCCGATAGACAGTATGTACTTAATGACGGCTAGACTGGCAGTCTAGCCGTACTTAAGTACGGCTAGACTCGCAGTCTAGCCGTACTTATTCTTAATATGATGGCTAGACTCACCATTTACAAAAAATAGGCCTACTGAATTGTAAATATACATTTTTAGTGAAAATTAGTGTGCAGTACCTAAAGTATTTGTATTTGAGACGAAACCAGGTGCCTTAATGACAGTACATGCATTTTAAACCTCCTGTTTTCTAATGTTAATAGGGCCTAAGATAAGTACGGCTAGACTTCTTGTCTAGCCGTACTTAAGTACGGGTAGACAGCCAGGCTAGCCGTACTTAATATTGATGGCTGAATTGTAAATGAAATTTTTAGTTTGCAATGCCTAAAGTATTTGTATTTCAGACAAAACCAAAAGGTGCCTTACTGACTTGCATGTATTTGAACCTTAATAATTACTAGATCTAGATCTGAGACCTGTGTACTTAACAGGCTTGAGTCGATAGGGCCAAACCTAGATCTAAGTACGGCTAGACAGGCAGTCTAGCCGTACTTAACTCTCGGTCTAGCCGTACTTAAGTACGGCTAGCCACTTCGATTCCAAAATGAGGAAAAGCAGGTCTTGTTTCGCACCGGGTGAGAATAGCCTACGCTGGCAAGTCTCACCCGCGGTGAGAGGTAGATCGTTTTTCTATTCTCACCCCGGATGAGAATAGCCACTTCCTTGAAGAAAAGAACATAATTTCAATCGAGTGGTCATCCTCTCTCTCTCTCTCCTCTGTGTATCGCTCGCCTTCTCTTTTTCTTTGTTTGTCTCTGTCTTTCTTTGTCCCCACCTATTTCCCACTCTATCTTTCCTTCCTGCTAACCGGGGCATCTCTCTCTCTCTCTCTCACACACACACTAGATTTCTACCGGGTCTGGGCGCTGAAACTTCCCGAAATCACAAAAGAGTTCCCCTACCGGGTCTGTATACTTCGTGACTTTGTTCCCGGTTACTGGGTCTGTATACACTTCGAGATCTAATACATGGACAGAAAAAAAAGAGAAACTAGATTCTAGATCTAGATCTAGATGATACTAGATCTAGATCTAGATCAACATCCAGATCTCTAGAAATCTAGATTCTCTTGATGGAGCCTGCAGGTGTGTGGATCTAGATTAAATTCTAGATCTAGATCTAGCAGCAAAGTGTGCACACCTAAACAAAAGACAATGTCACACCAGATCTAGATCAGATCTAGATTCTAGATATTAGATCTAGATATCTAGATCTAGCCTACACTACAACTACACTACACCGACACACTGCAGTCAGCACACAAAATTGGGAACACCATGACCATGGACAGGCACAATGAGGATTTGCTTTCTTATTGCTCCCCTGTGGCATGCATCTCTCAAACATATTATCTATGGGAATCAGGAAAGGAACCACACTAGCAAATAATATCAATTAACAAACCACTAGGCCTACCCAATCATTGCATGACTTCAAATCGGTAGCAGTAGGCCTAGCGTCGTTTTGACCACACAGCGTCAGCCAGAATGGTGATCTACACAGCAAAACATGCCGGGGGGGCTGAGGGTGATTTTGCAAACAAAAGAGAGCGTGATCACATTCATCAGCTACTTAGGCAGTAATATTACATAAATTACGTCGAGTACGCTGTGAAAATGCTGTACAAGTAGAAGTTTCTCTGCATTTCAACTTTCTAAATTCAAACGGGTACCAAAATGATAAAATTGACGAGCTAAGCGCAACCGTGTTGCAGCTGTTATGCCGCACGACACGGCGGATGAATACAAAGAAAAATGTAATCAAAACATTCACAGCAAATCATTAAAACCATAACATATTCGGACCTCAGAGCAACAAAAAAACATTTTTTATGTCATAATTTGTTACAGAATCTATTTAAATATTCTAAACAACACCGAGAAGTTCAAATAAACACAGACTGCTCTGATTGATCTGCTAGATATCTCTAGCTTTCAACAAATTTCGTCCATTGTTGCATGGAGGACCTCTGATCAGTTAGCACTTACCCGATTTATACAGTCCTCCCTGGGCGATGGCAGGCAAAGTTCAACACAAAATGTACATTAAACAATACAAGATAATTTACAAATTAATAATTACATCCATCCATGGTTCGACATTTGTTGAATACACGATAAATTTGCAATAACTTCCGAGAATCCGTCAGTACCCCGCGCCAAAAATTAGCACAACCTAACAACACATCAAGCTGTAACATCCACTGTAAAATAGTTCACTGGTTGAGAGAAAATATCCTTATTATCGTTTAATATTTAATTATACCGAAGTAAAAAGATCTTAATCATAAAATAAGACCATTTTTCTTGTAAAAACTTTGCTTTTTACAATGCCTTGCTCAGTTGGTTTACTAGCGCATGAATCGGTGTACCTTTTTTGATCGTCGAAAATAGTACTTACATACAGTGTGTACAATCAAGCAAGCAGGTCATTTGAACGTCATTGAAAGTGCCGTGTAGTTTGAGGCCACCAAGAGGGTAAAGTGCACTCGGGGCCGAGGAAGGCCTGCTCTCTGTTTATCAGGCTCAGCCAGCAGTCAGCAGCATCGCAGAACAGTTTATCTTAATCTTGGGAGCTTGGACTTCGGTGGAACCCTCTGTTTACGGTCTTGTACTAACGCAAAAAGATGGCTCGTAGAGTTTTTGTTGTTGGTGTGGGAATGACCAAGGTGAATCATTTGTATTTTTCTTTGGTTGTTATCACATGACATGTATTCTGCAGTTTCTTTTAAGTTTACTAATTCTAAAAAAGTCAGTGTCAGTCAAAGTCTTCCATAAGTTGTTATAACGAGTTGACGAGAAAGCAAAGTCGGTCAAAACATTGTACCTTGCCCTCATGCCTTCTTTTGTCGTAAAAACTAAGGTTGTTAAAGACTAGAATCTAGATCTCAACAGGAAGTTTTCATGTAATTTAATCGACTTTTTAGTTGATTCATAGAATGAACAACAAAGGGAACTGGTACTGTTTTTATGTTAGGGGAGGGGTGTAATAATTTAACCAATGATTGTTGTTTCCATTGTTTTGGTTTTTTTTCCTAATGTGGTGGTTGGCGATAGTCACTGTCCCACTACAAGAACAAGGCTACAACAATAGAGCTAACTAAACCAGGCCAAGGTCAAAACAAGCAGTCAGATGAATCTAAATTCAACAGTCAAATAATTTACGAAGTGATATATGCGTACGTCTCGTGGCTATGCGTATGCCCTCCCGTATACATAGCCTCGAGGCTATGTGTACAGCTCTCCACTTCACATAACAAGCTAGGCTTTGAAGGCAGCACACACAGAATTTTACTTTAGACTCTAATAAAATTCTGTGGCGGCACATAAACTAAACTATCAAACCGGACACTACAATTAAGTGGACAAACTGAAACCCTGGAAGCGTGCAGGCCCTTTTTAAAAGGTGTGAGCCGGGCTACCCGGGAAGCGTGCAGGCCCTATATATATATATATATAGGGCTGACCTACTTGGATTGGGAAGCGCACAGCTATATATAAAGGCATAGACGATTATCTTTTTTCAATGGAAAATTTCTGTATTCCTTATATAGGGAATTAATGACGTAGTAAATTACAGGTCAAAGTTATAAATAGTAACTAGTGACTTTGCAAGTTATCTTGACCTCGTAAAGCGTCTCTTGTCCAAAAAGATTGTACATAACAATATAGTTCACTCAACCAAAAAAGATGACGCTGCAGTTTTTGTTTTGAAGCTCTCTTTCGTTTTTCCAGCAGAAAAATTTATAGCACAGTTTGTTAGTTTCACTTTTATTATAAATAATTTTCACCCAAGTAGGGTAACTGATGGCACAACCGCACTTTTTCGAAGAGGGCGCCACCCAATTTTGAGGACACTTTTTTAATTGGCTCAAATAGGGTTGTGAACTATCTTGTTTGCACACAATAAAGTGACGCGGTCCAGCTGAGCAATTATCAAGGAAATCTAAGTCTGTACTTTAGAGAGCTGTATGCATAGCCACAGGCAATAATTTTTTGCATCTCGTTATTCAGGTTTTCTTTTTAGAAAATAAGAATTAGCCTGCCTACACTCATTGGATTCATTCTAACTTCTAATAGATCCAATGGCCCACTCTGAAACTAGACTGATTTTTACTGACAGTTTGGATTTTATTTAATGTGGAAGAAAATTGGACAAGCAATACTAGTCTGTCTCACGTAAAAAAAAAAATTCTAGCTCATCATCATTTTCATCATTGCCTTTCTCACCCTGGATCAGGATATATAGGCCACGAACAAACCTTTTTCACCTTTCTCTATTCTGGGCGAGTCGCTTGATGTCACTCCATATCTTCCCACTTTCCTGCACATCCATTTCCGTGACTCTTCTCCAGGTTCCATGGGGTTTTCCCCTTGATCTTTTACCCTGTGGGTTCCAATCTAACAGTGTGTCTAATCCATCGCCAACGCCTTCTTCCCACCTCATCTCTGACTGGGCTCTGTCTCCTTCTTCTTAGTGCTTCCACGTTGGTGATCCTGTCTGTCCATCTGATCCTCGTAGCTTCCTCAGACACTGGTTCAAGAAAACCTGGATCCTCTTTATGCACGTCTGAGATGCATTCCATGTCTCACATCCATACAACAGGACGGACTTCACATTTGAGTTGAAAATATCCTGTTCAAAGAAATAAATGCAGTCTGTGCCTTTCCAATACGGGACTTTATTTCAGCGCCTGTTCCTCCCTCTCTGTCAATTATACTCCCAAGATAGCAGAAGGATTCGACGTCTTCTAGTTCATTTCCCTCTACTGTGACTTGCTTTTTTCGAAGTGCATCTCTATCCCTAGGACTTTTGACTTTCCGGGGTGGATCCCCATTCAAACAGACTCTAGGCTTATAATCATTTAATTAATTAACCTGTGCCCATGAAACTTTGCGTGGCACTTTTGCAAATCAGCAACCAAACTAATTTTTTTTGTTTTTGGATCCAGTAATTAAAAAGTTTCTCTTTTTGGGCCCTATATTAAAAACTGTTATTTGGATCAGTATCACAGGGTCAGTAAAATTTTTAGTAAACTTGTCTCCGAAAAGCTCATTTAGAGACAGCGACACCACCCATTACTTTAATTTTTTTGTTTGTTTTAATAATTTATTTTTAGATTTTCAGTTGCATCAAGATTGATATTCAAGCTTCCTACTTAAAGCGCGAAAAACTGTTTTGTCCTTTTGTCATGTTATTGATTGTCTTTTGCGGGGTGGTTCTTCTTTCATGTTTTTTCTTCTTTTAACATTGATTAATGTTTTGTAGAATTATGCAATCGAACAGAGGTACACTGATTTCAATAGTGTGAAGTTTAAATTTTTCAAATCTAATTGTGCGGAGCCTAAGCCTAGATTCTTGCATATCATTTTATTTCAGTTTGAAAAGCCTGGTCGCCGACCTAACTTTGATTATCCTGACATGGCCAAAGAATCAGGTAACGTGATTTAATTTAAATATTCTGGTGACATTTTTTAACAAAAGTAAATTATATATCTAATTATGGGCCCTATTAGCAGCTTGTGTGTGTCATTGTTAATTTTGTTGTATGCTGCTCAACATTTTGATTCGTGTTTAATACCTTGCATTATCAAAATCATGTTTAAATTTATAGTTTGATTAATGGGATAAGGATTCATTTATACTATACCTGGTTTCAGTTGTGTACATAGTGCTAAGGCGCTTTATAATACTTTATTGTCGGATGCAGGAGACCAAAGTCCAATCCTCGAGTGGAGAGGAATTGTTGTCAAGCATCTCCACCTTTCTGCAGGGATGGTGTACCCTTCTCAGCCCTATTAGGCCCTTATCATTGGGTGCCCTCCTCCTTTGTGATCTAAATTGTGTAGATGAGGGCTATTAAGACTGCATTAAAATGTTTGTTGATACCATTTTGACGGTACTTTTTATATATATATGTCAAACTTTTGTAGAATGTACATGCTTGTTTTTGTATGCTAAAATCTTTGTAAATGATTCCTTCTTGCTGAGACACATGTTCATAATTATTGAGTAATGATTGTGATGAACAGTCATGATCTGGTATTTTTTTATGACAGAATCTGTCATTTTATCTGTAGTAAAACAATGTGTGTAATGTAAATTATTGTTATTATCTGTTTTTATTGTATTTTTCAATAGGAACAAAAGCTTTGCAAGATGCAGGAATTCGATATGATCAAGTTGAACAAGCTTGCTGTGGCTATGTGTATGGTAAGCAGCTACGTATAAGGTTTCATTTTTAATTGATGCCATTTATATTGATCGTCTTATGGCTTATACTGCCAGAAACAAAATATATAATTGTAACAGAGCAACGTATAAGTATCAGGCGTTCAGTATGCTGCTTAGAGTATAGTATAGCTACCAAATCATAATTCTTTAGTTTAAGAATTCATTTTCTTCTGCTCAGTGCAATTAAAAAGTTCATTGTATTTATTTCCCCTTTTGAAAATAACTTTTTATTGGGTAAAGAAGGTCTTGCAAGAAGTTCCTAACGATTTTGCACAACAAGAGATGGTTATCACATGTGTTATCTTTGTGTTAATGTTATCATTTTATTATCTCCCTTTAATTCATGTTTTATGAAGATAATTTTTTATTGATAAGTGTATATATGCGTCACAATGTAAGGTCTTCTTATACAGGTGATACAACTTGTGGACAGAGAGCGCTCTACCAATTGGGATTTACAGGCATTCCAATCTACAACGTGAGTCCTCTGTCATTTGGCATATAATTCGTATAGATCTAGTGATGGCTCTGAATTCTATTTTGAAAAACAAAAAAATGATTATGATATGTTTTCGAAATAAAGAAAGTTTCAGAGAGGCATGTTCCTTAATCTCAGTAAGTATTGTGCCTGTGAATTTGATAGATTTTTATAGTACTCCCTCAAGCAGGTCTTCTGATTATGAATCCTTTTTTTGTGTTAAGATTATACAAAACTCTGGTCTAAATACGAAGATGTATTGGTTGTGAACCTTTGACATTTCATGATTCATATAGAAATTGCCAAGGGGGCTCTCGTGGCCTAAAGGTTAAGGTGTTGGCCTCTCATTCAAAAGGTCCCGGGTTCGAATCGGGGTAGCGACCGAAAAATTTTCTTCTCTAAATTTGTCTCCTTTCACCTCCTTTCCTACTCTCTAGCAATGTTCTGTCGTCTGCTTTCGTCTCCTTTTTCTGCCCCTACGCCTTCACCTCCTTTGCCCCCTCCTCTGGGCTCCTGATTCTTTCTGCAGCCTTTCTACTGCTACTCATTGGCTTCTTCTTATTGCTGTCTTTCAGCCACACCCCTGATCTTCTGGTAGGAAAGATCTACACCTAGCGTTCTCGGACAAGGGCGAAAAATCTCGGAGGTCCCGTGTGCACGTTAAAGATCCCTTGGTGGTCTAAAATCGATAAGAGTAGGCTTCAGCCGCCACCCGGGCAAAATTCTAAATTTCCTACCAACTGAAAAAGTTTAGTGTGTCCCGCGCGCTCATATGACCTTATGCAGTTGCGAGCGCCGTAAAACACTTACAAAAACAAAACAAGAAATTGCCAGTTCTGTCAGCTCATTTTTGCTTCTTTTTCTTCTTGTTCAGTTACTGAGCTTTGGTTTTTATACTTACTTTTCAGGTGAACAATGCCTGTTCAACAGGATCAACAGCTCTTTTTATGGCACGTAACCTTGTTGCAGGAGGTAAGAACTATTTTTTATATAATCATTGCCCAGTGATGATAATTTACTGAAGTTCCACCTTTTATTTCCGTGTATAAACCATATCTGTGTGAATTTTACTGAAAAACCAGTATTATGATATTTGCACAAAAATATGAATTACCAATTTCCAATTATACGAGGGCTGTCCCACGGAAAACCGGAAAAAGTCCATAAAAGCAACAATCTTTGTCCTATTATAATAAAAATGTAACACATCATACCTCAACGTGTGCTTTATTTCTCAATGTAATCACCATCCCGCTGGACGCATTTTTTCCATCGCTGGATCAGAGAGAAGATACCGTCCCTGAAGAATTTTTCATCAAGGGATTTCAACCAATCTTTCATGGCTTCCACGAGGTCTTCGTCGTCGGTGAATCGCTGTCCAGAAATATGGCGTTTCATTGGTCCAAAAAGGTGATAATCTGACGGGGTCAAGTCAGGACTGTGAGGTGGGTGTGGCAGCACTTCCCAGCCGAACCTTTGGATCCAGTCTTTCGTAGCGTTTGCGGTGTGTGGCGTTGCGTTGTCATGCTGCAAAATGATCCCGCTGGACAACCAGCCTGGTCTTTTTCGGCGCACAACCTCTCTTAACTTATCAAGAGTCTGGCAGTATCTGTTAGCATTGACAGTTTGTCCTGGTTCCAGAATGTCAAGAAGCAGAACACCCTTAGCATCCCAGAAAACCGTGACCATGAGTTTCTTCACCGATGGCTGAACTCTAAACTTTTTCGGGGGAGGTGAAGACGTGTGCTTCCAAACCATTGAATCCCTCTTCGTCTCAGGGGTCATGTGGTCTCATCACCTGTAATAATGCTTCTCAGAAATGCTTCATCGTATTGTTGGAGGTCTCCAGATGCGTTCATGACTCCTGTGACAGCTTGGCGACAACGATTCAACAAAGTCTGAGACACTTCAACACGACGCGTCTTGTGGTCAGCTGTCAGCTCTTTTGGGACCCATCGAGCAGAGACCTTTCGATAGTGCAGCTCATCAAACACTATCCTATGGACAGTTGACTTTGAAATGTTTAGCGACTCGGAAATTTCGCGAATTTTTAGGCGCCTGTCTGTTTGAATGAGTTCGTTAACGCGACTCTTGTTGTCCTCAGTCTTGGCAGAAGAACAAAGTCCTGGGTGGACTATGTCATTGATATCCGTATGCCCGGCTTTGAACTTACTACTCCACTCATATACCTGTGACTTTGCCATTACTTTCTCCCCGTAAACTGACTTTATTTCAGCGTGTATTTCTATAGGTTTGAGACCTTTTGCGGTCAGAAACCGAATGACAGATCTCACTTCTATCCTTGACCAATTTTCCAAGTGGGTAGCCATCTTTGGAGAACTGCTGTGTTCGTTTGGTTTGTGCGATGCTCATGGTGTTCAATCGGGAAATTCCAATATGATTGTTTTACAAGTGTGCGTTTACAGAATGTGAAAATATTGAATAGTTTTCAAATTACAGCAAAATTCCGGTTTTCCGTGGGCCAGCCCTCGTATTTGGCTTTGGAAGTCGTCAAAAATTTGGTGGCCATTTTCTCGCTAATTTTATCTCTGAAACTAGTTAGATGAGTATTTTTTCATCAAAAGCAAGATAAATTGACAAACTTTAAAACAATACCAATAGCTCCCTATGCCCAAAGATTGACGAGCACCTGATTCCATTGCATCATGACACATGTAGAGATTAACTTTTAAAACGATTTATAGGTAGGTGGGGGTTTTCAGCCTCCAGAATTCTGAAATATACACAAATGCCAATGTGTTACTTTTTTTGATAATCCAGATATACACTGAGTTTTCATCTGTATGCAGGACAGTGTGTCTCTGATCCAGGGCTTATATACTGAGGCTCAAGTATCCAAACACCTTTATTTTATTTTTTTTTGCAAAGATTTTAATTTGGCTTTTTTCCCCCCTTCCCAGTATAGCAGCATTTGAAGGGCTGCTAACAAACATGGTCTTTATTTTACTTTGTAAATTGCTGATGTGGGAATGTTGATCTCTTCCTCTTGAACATAACACATCATCATTGATTTACTAATGATGTGTTTTGTGACTTAGGACTGGCTGACTGTGTCATGGCTATGGGATTTGAAAAAATGGAAAAAGGATCTTTGACCATGAAGGTATGTTCTACATTTTCATGACGACATCTCACACTGTTAGTCCACAAGGCTATTGAGTGGTTTTTATCCTTGTGAAAGGAGAACAGCATCAAATGCTCATGGAATGTGAATAACATGAGTGAGTGAAATCTTTCTTTCTATAGAATATTAAGGGCAGAGCACTTTTTACTGCTTATATATTGAAATTGAATCTGATGAAAATGGCTGTATTTGAGCTTGCTTTAGTAAATTTTCTTTCAGTAGAATTAAACAAACGAATTGTCAATTTTTGTAATAGGTCAGGATCATTACAATGCAATCACTAGTACCATGACTTCTTAATGTTTAAGGAACTCAGTTTGTTGGTTTTTGTTCAGTTCTTATTATCTGCTACTCACCATGTCTTGAGGACTGCTGATGGATAGTGATAATGTAAAATGATTTATGTTCTGTTTTAGATTTGAAGTAAAGTAAATGAGCATACTCTGATTTCTCTTCTCTAGTATACAGACAGAACAAATCCTATGGACAAGCACGTAGAGGTGATGTTAGAAGGACACGGCTATTCAAAGGCTCCCTTTGCCCCACAAATGTTTGGAAATGCTGGGAGAGAGCACATGGAGAAATATGGTAATTTTTCAGCATTATTTCCATTTGTTCTTTTTTAGTGATCATAACTTGATTTATATTTGGAGTCAGAGAAGAGCAAGTGACATATGTGGTCAAACCATGTTTGTAGTGTTCTAGTACCATTATTGTGTCTACCTCTCAAAACACTGTTATTACATAAAAGTAACAAAGAGGCCTACCTGCCATATTTTATAGAGATTAAACAGTGAAACTTGTGGCTGCTGCCTCTGAAATGACTCTATAGTGCAAATGAATATTTTTAAAGTCAAAGGATTGTCCTTTAAGATAATAAAAAAAAGATTGTGTTTCTCTTTTTTAAGGTACAAAGCCTGAAACATTTGCCAAAATTGCCTGGAAAAACCACAAGCATTCCACAAATAATCCGTAAGTAGTGTGTTTGTTGTTTTTTAAAAATCTCTTTCCAGTATTATGATATTTGTACATACTTTTCCTATACTTTAATTTGTTGACTGTTTGTCTCAAAGTCAAACTCTTTATTCTTCCTCTTCCACATTTCTTTTGTCAACCTGACAAGTATCTTGAAAAGCAAAGAAACTCGCATTCTCTGAGCCCTTTAAGTTCTTTCATAAGAATGCATAACATTAGGATTGGATTTGATACATGTATCATTTATTGGATATTGAAAATGACACGTTTCCTCTTCAAGAAGCCTTAATCGAATATGTGCATACACAATTAAACATACTGAGACATTTTATGTCCCATATGAGCACGCTGGACACATTATCATGAAACATTTTCAGTTGGTAGGAAATTTTGAATATTGCCCGGGTGGCGGTCGAAGCCTACTCTTATCAATTTTAGACCACCAAGTGATCTTTAACATGCGCAACTAGCACACGAGACCTCCTAGATTTTTCACCCTTGTCCGAGAAGGCTAAGTGTAGATCTTTCCTACCAGAAGATCTGGGGTGTGACTGAAAGACAGCAGTAAGAAGGAGCCAAGGAGCAGCAGTAGAAAGGCTGCAGAAAGAGTCAGGAGCCCAGAGGAAGGGGCAAAGGAGATGTGGGAATGGGGACAGAAAGTGGAGACGAAAGCAGACGACAGAACATTGCTAGACAGCACGAAAGGAAGTGAAAGGAGACAATTTTAGAGAAGAACATTTTTTCCGTCGCTACCCAGATTTGTACCCGTGACCTTTGAGAGAGAGTCGAACACCTTAACCTCTAGGCAAGGAGAGCCACCTTCCAGTTTCTTTACGTATATCGTGCCTGTTCATGATCTCCACTACTTCTCATTTAAAGCTAAGTTCTTTAAAATATTACAGGAATAAACTAGTAAATTATCTGTAGAAAAGGTCTCTAAATATGTGCTGTTGAGAAAGTTGTTTAAATTGATTAAATGATGAATTCTTTAATACATTTCAAGTAAGGATGACTTTTTTAAAGCAATTTTTTTTTTGTCTTCAGGTACTCTCAATTTCAGACAGAGTACAGCCTTGAGGATATCATGAAGTCTCCTGAAGTTCACTCTCCTCTGACCAAGCTGCAGTGCTGGTAAGTCTGTCTAAAGTGCTGCGGTACGCAGAATCCCATTTGCAGTTTCGACCCCTATCTTTGTAAGTAAATAGGAAAACAAACAGAAAAGTGCTCCAAATGGCAGGTCATGAAAGATCTGTAATCGGAACCGTCAGAAAAAGACAACTGGAATCCTGTGGCCATGTAAATAGATCAAATGGACTAGAGAAACTGCTGCTGTGTGGAAAGATAGAGGGAAAGAAGAGCAGAGGCTGAACAACTTTGCAACAAATAAAGCAAAGAGAAAAACCGAGCTGATCAAGAAGACAGACAACAGGAAAGAATGGGGTACCATGATCATCAATGTCTGCTCCAGACCAGACACCTGAAGAAGATCTTTGAAAGTAGTTATGATTAAAATTAAAGGATCTATGATCTCTCGTGCTCCCGTTGTATTTGACAGATTGCCCCAAGCAAAGGGCTAATTTGTCTTCCTCTGTTTCTTTTCAAGTTGAGTCTAGTTATTACCGAAAGGTTGAGTTGTATCATCTCACAAAATTAGCAGATAATCTGGTCCAATATATAGGGTAAAAGTATATACTGGTAGGTAGTCCTTCGTTGCCAAAGATGACGATGAATCCTGCAGCTCCTGTGGACGCGTATGTGGCTGTGCAATCCGATCTTGGATGTACAATGTCTGTTGCAGTGGGGACACTGGAATGTCGTGGTTGTGGTGGTTGGCTTATGTCTCCTCTCTCTTCTGGTAGTCAGCCTCTCCCTGTAGTTTATATCACAGTTTCTGATGGCAATACGGACGGCCCTGCGCCAGGCGTTTCTTTCGGTGGCAGTTCTTTTGAGTTCTTTGGGGGTTACCTGTTCGAGCTGAAGGTTTTCCTTTATAATGTCTTTGAACCGCTTTTTTGGCCTCCCGAGATTTCTTTTGCCACTTGCGAGTTCGTCGTACAGCAGCTGTTTGGGCATTCGGTGGTCTTCCATGCTGATGACATGGCCGACCCATCTCAGATGGGCTTTGACGAGCATGCTTTCTATGCTTTGTGAGCTTGATCGGTTGAGGACCTCAATATAGTATATACTAATGTGTTCATAAATGGTTTAAAGTGCACAAGACTGATTTTCCATGAGCTTCAGGTACCAAGTAAAGGTATTATATCCTAAAATGTCATTAATCATCTTTTATTATATTTGTTATAAAGTGCTTGTCTCTGCAGTTTAATTAAGTCATTGTCACAGGACTTTCATTAGCAAATGTAAATGATAGTGCTCAAAAGTTAGGGTTCTTCTTTTCTAGAGAGTTGTGGGTACCAGGTGTTCAAGCCGCTCTTTAAGTAGAGTGCTAAATGTCATCATTTGAAATATGTGACCTGTATTTGCATAATGTCTAACATGCTGAGGATCCTTTATGCTCTCAAGCGCAAAATAGCTGAGTAAGGTCATTCTTCAGCTTGGCCCAGTCTAACTTACAATTACTTCCTTGGATATTTTTTGTCCTTGTAAAATTAAACTTCATAAGAAATTCAATTATTTTCTATTTTCTTGTTCTGTTAGAAGATATAATAGTATTGATACTTTGTTTTTAGTTTTGCATTCATTTTGTTCATTTGTTTGGGTTTTTTAAAACAAAGTTTTGATTTATAACCAACTTTAATATGCTCTCATTTTGTACAACTTTAGCAATCAGTCTGCTATAAACTTTCACATGTTTTTTGGGCTATGTGAATTTCAGAAAATAGAAAGTACTTTTTTTTTTTAATTAGGAAATTAAAACTATATTAACTAACTTTTTTTTCCTTTAAATACAATGCATTTTTTAATGTGTTCCTGATATATTTATTGCAGAAATAACAGTTGCAGTTTTGTATGGGTTTTGTTTGAGTTGTGCCCTGGAAGTTTTGAAATTTCAAAAGCTGAAGTTTTTCAGTTACTCTGGAAAATGTTAAGATTAGGGGCTTTGCTTACTGTTGTCAGAATGAGGTGATCCTCGTTTTTGTCTAATAGAACATTTCTAGCTCAAAATTAAAATCTCTAGAAAAGGATACTGAAGAAAAATAAAGCTTAAATTCTTTTGTCCTGGTTTTTGTTTTATTTTTCAGCCCTACTTCTGATGGGTCTGCCTGTGCTATCCTGGCCAGCGAAGACTTTGTGAAAAAAAATAACCTGATTAGTCAGGCTGTAGAGATTGTTGCCATGGGCCTTGGAACTGATTTGCCCAGTGTATTTAAAGACAGAAACTGCATAAAAATGGTATGAGGTTCCCACGTTCTTATTTTGGTTCATTAACCCTTTCGTTGCCAGGGGGTATATGTTCCCTTTTTACTGTCAACACTGATGTCTCAGTATTAATGGACGCGCTGTATAGATCTAGCGCACTCGTGACATATTTCGGACACTAGTTTTCAATTGTCACTTTTCTTATACCCCATTTCCTCCCATCTTACTCATAACTTTGAATAACGTGCAAATCTAAGTCGAAGGTGAATTTATTTGCCTTTTTAAAGTCATTTCGATGTTTCCATTTTACGAGAGCATGCGGCTGCCCGCGGACCTAGATCTGTGTTCATCAATCGCTTGCAGGCCTAGCAGTTATGTAATAGGGCACTGGCAAATTTGGTACCGATATGCGCATCGTTTATTCCGGAATACGAATCTACGCAGTGTTTGTGGCTAAAAATTTGTTCAGAAGAATTAGTGCCAAGTTATTAGCGCGTAACATACATATATAACATAACATCATATAGGCAACCAAGAGCGGCAGATTATGCCAACTTCTGTGACGTACTCACACATTTTCATGACATACCAGGAACGTCATAAGGCATCGAAGGAGTTAAAGAAGATTGACTTCTGACCATTTTCTTTGTGATGGCACTAAACAACAAAAAAGTTTTTACAGATTAACTAAGGTCGATGGAAATTTGCTTTTATTGTGCTTGATTTCACCCACTTTGCTGCTGAATTCAGGAAATAATCATAGGGTACGTTTACAGTTGGTCTGATTTTGCTTCTATTATCTATTTGAGGTGGCAGAATTTGGCTCTATTCAAAAGGCTTTTTAATGGCTTCATCAATCGACATGCGGTTTTTGTCAAAAGATTCTTTAAAATATTCTCCAGATCATGACGCCCTTCGTTTTTTCAGTTTTGAGACAGTTTTGCTGCAAAAAGCTAAATTTCTTTATTTCGCCGATCACTTTTGTAGGCTGACTCTTCTGTCTCTGTAATTTTAGAAAATCCGCCAGGTTTGTTTATTTCAAGTCGTATTTCCGTTCGATACTATCGCGCATTGTCGCGCAATACTGAGCACTATTTTAAGTGCACGACCCGTATAGATCTAGCCTCATGTTGTTTTTTTTACTTGGTGCTAGATGCATCGATCATTCCTTTCATTGAAAGGGTGCCCAGCTAGTAGGCTACTTTTTAAAACAAATTATATTTCAGAGAGAGGCAGTAATCTTCAAGGAGATGAAACGAAACTTTCCTCCCGTATTTGCTTACATGTGTTATGTTTCTGTTTTCAATCTTTGTTCTTTTGTGATGGGGGGGGGGGTTAATTGATGTTTTAGAATTTTTCAGCAACTTGAAAGCTAAAAGTTAAAACCTGGGGTTGATTGCAGTATTGTTTAGCATTTCTCAAGATGTTAATTTTTGAAAGGGATATTTGTATTATTATTAAAGCCTCTTCACATTATGCACAGCAATGAATTGGTTGCTGTCCGTGTGGATTGATAGGTCGAGTAGTGTTACACTTTCGCTGTGTTGGTTCATTTCCAATGAAGATAGTAATTTATGATAAAGGTCCCCCTTGTTGACCTGTGAAATGAGGTCAAACTGATATGTATATGTATAGAATGATTTCTATCGATACTTCTTGTGAGGTGATAACCAGCTTCATAATATCAAACTGTTATCATAGTGTTATCATCACGCTTATATCAACTCATGCTCAAGCTATATTTAGGTCCTTTTGCAAGTTGCCTAAAATCTAAAAGCATGAAACAAAAAATAAGTGAATTATTTCTATACAAGGCTAAGAGCTCAAGATAGATTTCCTCTGTTTAAAATTGCTGATTCAGTTAATGGGTATGGGTGGTTGGCGGGTGCTCTGGTATGGTTGACTCCTTCTTTCCTATCCGATATGATGTGTTTTCCTTATCTCTCTTCCTTCTTTTTTTTGTTTTTTTTTGGTTACTCTTTTGTAACACATATAATCTTTGGCACTTATATGACCTCATTGTGTTGCAAGTGCCATAAAATGCTCACTAAAACAAAAAGTTAATGGATTAGTCAGTGGTTGTCCTCTACCTTTATTGTTTGTATTGATTGATTATTTGATTTTTCCACCATCTATCTTTATGGGAATAGGGAGCCAACATCTGTTTTTCTGTTCTGTTGATCTCGTACCGATTTTCCTTTTCTTGAATTACATTTCAGATCGGCTTCGACATGGCAAAAAATACTGCACAAAGAGTTTTCAAGGATGCAGGTATGGTTCAGTTACTCTGCTCTGATCCATTTTGGGCTGTTTTTCATTTGATAAACTGGTTTAAATGGTTTTAGCCTTAATCTCTAGATGCTGTGCTGTGTTTCGCTGTCACCAAAAGGATAAGCGGGTAGGCCTACTGTGGTCTCCACCTAAGAACCCAGTCACCAGGTGACAGAAAAAGCCAGTTCTTACATAGAGCAGGTTTATCTAAGGCAGATTTCAAGGGATACCACTCGGCTCCCAGTTGTTATCTGCCTGGTTCCCACCTATTTTTGTTTTAAGTTGAAATATTTTGTATGAGCTGTGCGGGATCCTGATACTGAAATGAAAATAGAAGCCGGTGGTGGGGTGGGGTGTGACCATGAGACCATATGAGAAGAACAGATACCTGAGTCAATGGAAAACTACTTAATGACTGATGCACTTCAGCAGAGGTCAATGTAAGTTGAAAGGCAATGTTGAAGCCATTCTTCTAAGTGATTTAAATTGTGTCTATGAGGGCCAAAAACTTCTGCAATCACAATTTTGATTTTGAGTCGGAAGTATTGTGAAGCTTTTTCTACAGCATTCATAGTGGTTTCTTGTTTCTTAGTTCTTGTGACTCATTGAAATTTTTTTTTTTTTTAAATGTTTTGTTGAAAATTATGAAAATCACAGTTGTAACTGCTCTGTGTTATATTTCTGTCTTCCCAGCTCTATATCAGTCGTAAGATGCACTGTACTATTATCAGCTACGAGGCTCGAAAGGCAAACTCAGTTTTGAAATTTCCTTCATATGACTGATATTGACCTCCAGGGACACATTTATAAGGTTGAGAAGAGTTATGAGGTTGATATTCAACTTTTTTTTCTGTTGCTAGGCCTTACACCAGATGATGTTCCACTCTTTTGTTCTGTTGCTATGTCTCTTACCAAATGATTCTCAACTTTTTTCCTTTTCCTAAATCTTGCATGAGATTATCTTTTTTTTTTGTTGTTGCTAGGTCTTACTCCAGATGATGTTTAACTTTTTAGTTCCTGTTCTTAAGTCTTTACTGTAGATGATGTTTAACTTTTTTTTCTGTTGCAGGTCTTACTCCAGATGATGTCCAAGTTGTGGAACTGCATGACTGTTTCTCTGCCAATGAGCTTCTCACTTATGAAGCCCTGGGACTGTGTGGACCAGGTAAGCATTCATCACACTTTGTTAAATCCCAACTAAATGGTCGAAGGTGGTTCTGGGCAGTCAAACTTTGAAAAAGAAGTGGGTGAGAAATTGTCCGTTGAAAAAACCTGGATTTATTTTTTTTGGAACAGTTGATGCAAGACAATGTGTCGTAAGAACAAATCAAATTTGACTTTCTAAGCTGATATGAGTATCGTTACCAGGATTCGGAGCCTCATTTTGATACGTTACGAGGTCTGTCTCCGAAGTAAGTTTCCCTGCTCTGTTAAATCAAAAATTTTTATTAAACAGACATGAAATTTTATACATACCCACAGAAACATGGGGGTTTTTTTTCAACATAGCGAATGTTGATCTGAATGCACTTTGTTAAAAAATCTTTCATCTGATGAAGCCAGTGGTTAAACTTAGGACTCTGGCTGGAGCGGACATGGTCCCTACGTTTGACCACTGGCTACATCACATGAAAAAGTGTATTGAGATCTACAGTTGTAATGTTGGAAAGAAACATGTTTCTGTAGATATGAACAAAGTTCTTCGTTTTACATAACAAGGGAACATACTTCTGAAACAGACCTTGTATAACTTATAATAATCTTCTATTTTGGATTAGTATTTGCATCTATAGGTCAGGAAGAAGCTTTTTGTACTGGTTTTATGGATATATACACTTGTCTACTTTTATATATGTATATAGACTAGTTAGCCTTTAAAATTCACATGCACGCATTCTCCCTCTAGTTAAACACACACTCACATAAAAACTCACAGATGCACAATTTGTATCGTTGTGTATTAGAATTGATCCATTTTGTAAAAGAAGTAAATGGAAGTAATGCAATGGGTCTATCAGACTGTTATGTATAGGTTTAAAGTAATTTTGTTTTTCAAAATCCTTTTCTCAGGTGAGGCAGAGACGTTCGTCAACAAGGGAGACAATACATATGGAGGGAAATATGTTGTCAACCCAAGCGGTGGCCTCATCTCTAAGGGACACCCACTGGGAGCCACAGGTAAGACATGAATCCTTCTTTGTAGGTTGGTTTTTTGTTGTTGTTGTTTTTGTGGGGGGGGGGTTGTTTGTTTTTGGGGTGATTTTTTTTTTTTTTTGCTCTTTGCTTTTCTGTCAGGCTACTGGAATGCTTCAGTAAGCTGTGCTGTACCTTTAAGGAAAACATTTTCAATGCGCGTGCTGGACTGCCATTGTTTCAGTTGCAATGACTGAGTTCCTTACTAGCATGTTTCGGATATTTCCGGTCAGAGGGCTGCCCCATATATCGAATGTATACCTGAAAAATTAGTTCTCTTAGTAGCATCTTGACAGTGTCATCATGATATAGAAATAATGCGGGGGGGAGGGGGGGCATTTGTACAGCTGATTGTCTTGAACAGGTGGTTTTTAGAACAGAATGGACTAGCTGTAGCAGTATTTCAGACACACCATCCAGCAGGTCTACCACTCAGACAAGTACTGCCACTACTACTAGACCAACAGCTACACCAACTGTAAATAGTACAAATACATTAACACATTGGATACTGTGGATGTTGTAAAAATATTCTTAAAAACCTGTTTGTGTGTATTTCCTTCAAATAAAGAGGTGCAGCCGGCTTGCAATAGGAATACCTTTTCAAATTAATGAATTATAACATTGCTGACAGGAGGCAAAGCTGAGGAAACTAGGTCTGTGTAATTACTTTTTGTTTTTAATAACAAACTTTACTTACCACTGTTTAAACTGAAAAAGTGTGGCTTTTGAATTTTACAATGTTTTTTTTAACCCATATTTTTAAATTTTACATTCCTATTTGGTGTACAACTTTTCGTTTAACTGTTGATATTACTTTTCTAGGGCCTTTTTCCTGAACATGGTCGTCCGAAAAATGGGGTAAAAATTTATTCAGTCAAAACCCCACATAAAAATTACATCCTTAAAGAGTTCAGATGTTGTTGTGTATGTAAATGGTGATTTAAGGATGGTGGAGGCTTTATATGTCCTTGTGTCACTATTTTTCTATCTCTTGATTGATGCTTTTAAGAAGATTATTCCAATTTTGACCTTGGCAAAGGCTTTTGTAGACTGTACATTGTGAGATGGCAGTGGAGTTGCATGCTGTCATATTTATAGGTTTTCTAAGAATAAAAGAACTGGTAGAGTTTGAGCCACGCACAATAAATCAAAGAACTTCTGCCAAGCTATTGCTGACCAAAGACTGGTCTTTTCTTCTATTTCTTGTTTATTTAACTTGGAGGACATGTGGCAAATCTGCTTCAGTAATAGTTGGCCTATGTACCGAAATTTAAAGAATTCAATATAGTTTGTAACAGGGAAAGTGTGAAGTTTACATTCTCACCCTGACCATGTTCTCCAGTTTCCTTATAAAATGAGAACTAAGTAATGCGTCTAAACGACATGTGGGGCTCTTCAGGGGAAGGTAAGGAGCTTTCTCTTGTCAAAGTGTCTGGTTCCTGTCCCAGTTGATGCTGGCATTGTTTGCAGATAATTTGAGTTTATTTGTCATGTTCCCACTCCGGTTATCCCAGGGTTGAGGGAATCAAGCACCATTCATCTCCTTAAAGATAGAAAATTCACAGGTCTATGGTTACATTGCTCACGTTAAAGACATCCTAGCTGTCAAAAGATAAAGAAGAACAATCCTACAGGGCAAACCACAGTAGTAAAATTCCATTATCAGTATCTTCACAAAACTGAAGCAACTTTTTGTTAACTTTTGACATGAGTTTATTGCTGCTTGGAAAATGAAAGGCATCATACTATGGAGCAAACAATTTCTGCAGGTTGAATTTATTTTTTTATTTTAAAAAATATATATATACAGTTGGCTGCCCTTGTGATCCCATATGGGGGAATGGCAGGAAAAGAATTAGAGGATAATCTTTTTTGTACTGAAGTTATATAGTAGAGCACTGAGAAATGTTTTCTGTCTTGAGAATGGAGAGAAAAAAGAACAATGTTTACAATTGGCACTGACTGCCTATGTAGATTTTTTTTCAGAATTCATGAGCTCTTTGATGAAATGGCTTGATTTTATTGGAGTTTTCCAATACTTGTCACCACTTATTTAACAGGAAAAAAGGAGCACATCATTGTATCCTTTTTACTTTTGTCACTGGTCTTTTAGCTGTGTGGGGCAAATATTCCCCCAACATTTAAGGGCCTTTGCTGTAGAGATGTCTGTCCTGTTTATCTTTCTTCAATTGTGTCTAATTTTAAGTTTTGTCCAGTTTCTAGAGATCGGTCACAGCCTTTTTCCTACCATGTTATTCTAGGTCTTCCTCTATATGTTCCTGTGATCCTTATTGTTACGTTTGTCACTGATTGTGAGTGAACTCAGGCTATGAAAAGTACTATGTTAATGTCAAATTTGTGCCGATGGCCAACTAACATGTACATATTATTGATAAAGTGAAATATCATATTCTAATAATCCATTTTGTTAACCCTATCTGTATGTCATGTTTTATTATCGTATCCGTACGACCTGGGGAACTCGACTGTGCCACCACTTTCGAAGAGGAAATATTTACTCGTAAATCCGATCCGTACGCTTTGCATAGCAGTCTGTCAAAATGATTTTTTGAGAAATACTGAAAGTTTCAAAGAGATCTTCATACTAGAAGTATTCTTAACTGTGAAGGATACTATCCCTGGGGTACAAAATGACCGGATAGGGTTAACCCCTCTTGCTATTGCATGTACAGTCGAACCTGCCATGACAGCCACCTGTATAAATGGCCACTTATTTCCATATCCCCCCTTGCGTTTTTTCTATAATTTAACTGTAAAACGGGCACCTGTCCAACGCGGCCACAGCCACCATATTTTATTAACCCTCAGCCAAATCTACCTGCCTATAAAGGCGGCCAGGCTGTGTAAAAAATTATGCATTTTCTCCGTCATAATTCATTCACCTGTTGTTGTTGTCAGTCCCTCCAATAGATGAAACAGTCATGTATGTTGCTTAGGTCACTCCCAATGTTTGCCCAAGTTGACCAATGGGTAACAATAAAATTTCAGCTGCTGGTAAGGAAAGCGTGTGATCCGTCATAACCTATAAGGCCCACCCCAACTCAGTCTGTAAACCAAGTCCATAACAATGGAAGTCAACACAAACCCGCAACAGAAGTGTTGTTCGTTCGCCGAGTGGTGGCGACCCATTTATTTATTTTACTATGACACTTGGCTTTATCCTCGTCTGAAACATTTTGTTTTGTTTTGACCTTTCCCTGTAATTTTATTATAAAAGAAAATTAAAACTAACAGCAGAAAATCCCACAAAAACCGTCCCATCCTCTCCCCCCTTTCAAAAGAAATAAAACAACAACAACACATTTTAATCAGCCCTAGGGCAGTCCTAGGCATGCAACCACCTCCAGTTGGGGCCTCAGAAATAAATTGGTTTTTTTTATCAGTCCTGCCTAAGACGGCCACCTGTCTTATATAGCCACTTTTCCCCTCTACAATGCGTGGCCGTCTTAGACAGGTTCGCCTGTATTTGGTTAGTCTCTTTTTTATCAACTTCTGATATCTATCATCAACTCATCTTTTTCGTATTTAAGCTATCTCCTCTTGAAATTATTATAATTTTTATTGGGAACTGTTAAGTGATTTTTTTTTGTACCCTGAGATTTGTGTAGTCCAGTTATTTTATTCTCCTTCTGAGCACGCAGTGAGGGTCGTAGCTCTGACTCTGTTGTGGTAGTGGTAATTGCTCCTTCCTTCCCATCAAACATATTATCGTCCTTATCTCTCCTTGTTTTTTGTGTTTGGCATTTGTATGACCTTGTTGTGTTGCAAGTGCCGAAAAACTCTCACTGAAACTGGACGAGCTCGTAGTGACGTAGTGTGTGCGCTGCGCAGTTATTTTTTTCGCCATGTCTTATTCGCCAAGTTTCGGTAAATAGGCGATAGCATGTTGGGCGTCACCAGTTCTTTCGAATAGAGTAGTGTCCCTTCCCTAACTATACTGAGCTGTTTACTGTCGGTCGGCCAGTTAGAGGAATAATACTAATCGTTGCTACTGTTAGTATCGTGTGTGGTGGAAGACTGGAAGACAACTTCAGGTTTGCATAACGTTATCATTGGTTTTATTTTATTTTAAATTTCTTGTTCTGTGGCAGCTAGATTGTAGCATCGAGGATAGCCTTTTGACTTTTCCTGCCTATACAGTATTAGGCTTAGCTTTTCCAGTTCCAGCTCATTACTCGATCGATCTGGGCCCAGGCCCTAGCAGAGGAAGTTGAATCAATGATAGTACATAACGTTGAATGAAGGGTCGCATGATTGAAGTTGACATGGTTGGACAAATCGGAAGACTTTGACCACCGGCGGACACTGATACTATCAGTCAGTTTTCTTTCTTGACCTTTGGACTGTTCTGCTTTGTTTTATACCAGAGGTGGATATTCAATAGAATTTTTATTTTACTTTTTAGCGCTTTCATTTCTGCGCCTTGCCTTACATTACATTGACATTGAGAGTGAGAAGCCAATTTCAGTTTCAGTGCTGCAAATGCTAAGCCCTAGTGTAGGACATTAACTAGACTACTAAACAGGCCTTACATTCCAAACAAGTCAGTTTCTGTATATTGTATAAGAATAATAAGATATTGTGTTGTGCGTTCTAAGTGGAATCTTGGACTTGGACAGTGAACTTAAGCTATTATTTAAAAGTATAGGTTACTGTGATTTATTAGATCTAAGTAGGCTAGATCTAGATTAGATCTAGATCTAGATCTATATTATAACTTGAAACGTTATAGATCTAGATCTAATTACACGTGTAACGAGAATGTGAAAATGATGGATAACATTATAAATGGCAATTATCATCATGTATGATGAGAAGTTTTGTTAGGCTTGACTTTGACTTAGAGTCGACTGACTTTTTTTCTGTAAGTTTTTACTTTTAGACACGCCCACAGATGCACTGTTTTTGGGGCTTAACTGCCATATTTTTGCTGCAAAACGCACGACTAAAACCTTTGCAAATCGACTTTTCAAGAAAATACCATTACCAAAACATAAAATTATAGTGAAATAGAGTACAGGGGACATGCCCCCTGGAGCCCCTGACATTCTTTTTTAAGTCAGAGCTGAAAACCCTGATGTTGTTAAAAACAAGTCAAATATTACTACACCATTGATCCTGTTGTGATATAGTTCATATAAAATATGTCTCATGCTAATAATTTGCGATGGATATAAAGTCAAAATTTGTGTAAAGCAGATAAAAATGAACAAGAGATGTTTTTAAAATAGAATGTTAACCCTGAGACGGGTCGAAGAGTAAAAAAAATGACCTTTTTTTCTCTGTTTGAGAGCAATGTTGTATAGCTCAGCGTGCTGAAGTTTTTTGATCCCGGATTGTTAACTTTGGAGTATATGCTTTATTAATAATGCTCCTGTTGTGTTTTCAAAAAAATGGGGTAAAAATAGAATAAATCTGTCTTGGAAAAAGAAAACCATGAAGCTTCAATGTCTACTTGTATTTTAGCTTGGTTAAGATGCTGTGAATATATTTTTTTTCTCTTTTTAAAAAATGAAATAAACTAACGTTAGAAATAGAATTGCCCATATTTGTTGGAGGTGGGGGATAAGGAAGCATTGCAAGTCTTTAAAAATCATAGCTTTACTTCTGTTCTTTCCTCTGTTTCTGTTTTGATTTTCCCTTGCACTATATGGCCGATGTTTTGTAGATGTGTGCTTTTCTCTACACACACACACGACAATAAAATCTAGACGGAGAACGAGTTCCATAATCAAAAAGGAACTTTGACTTATGACTGAAGAGAAAAGTCAAGAGTTAATTGAGAACAAACAGCAGTAACAATGAGACATGAATATGAGCAGCTGTAAGTTAATTGTAGGTCACTTGCTGGCCATTATTGAAAATAGAGATTAGTTTGAAAGTAAATTTGCAGCCCTCTGAAGTATTTAGAATGGAGTAAAGTCTTCACGAATCTCTTTGGAAAAAGATATTATAAGTGGAATGACCCCACCTTGAGAAAGAGTTCTGTGGACATTAGACCTGTGGGATTGGATGCTATCTGGAATACCCAAAACTTGCTGAGATCACACAGTAGAAAAGGAATGGAGAAATGTGAATTCATGTTCTGATACAAACTTTTCAGCTATGTTGTGGCACTGATGGAAGGTCAAAAGCTGTGAAATGTTTCATAAACTGAGAGGCAGCAAAATAATATTTGTCTTTATTTTTTTTATTTTGCAATTCCTTGTTTTTTTTCCTTACTTTAGGTTTGGCCCAGTGTGCAGAGCTTTGTTGGCAGTTGAGAGGAATGGCTGGTAAAAGACAGGTACCAAAGGCTAAGGTAGCCCTGCAGCACAACCTGGGCTTGGGTGGAGCTTGTGTCATTTCTCTGTACAGACATGGCTTCCCAGAGGAGGCAGGGTAAGGATATGTGTCGTTGGAAATCTATTTCGCTAGCTACTATCAGTATGGTATAAAAAATTTATTACTCTCGTCATAGTGGTAGACCTACCCCCGGGGCGGTGCCTCTGACTGAAGTGTCTTTAGGCCTTTCCGAAAGGGGGGACATTTCTTGTTCTAATGCACAGTAGAATAAGTGGGCTGATCCAACAATGTCTTGCTCATAACTGTGCCTGAACTACAACAGGGAACTGCTGCTTTTTCGTTTCTAATCCTTACTATCGTCATTTTCCTCTGCTTCTTTTGTATGTTCGTCACAGTCTTATGGCCCGCTATTTCTGGGGTGCCTTGGTAGCCGAAGCAGACTTTGTGCTGTTGAAGCTAGAGAGGTGAGCAGAGTAAGTCTGATTCCCTGTAAGGGCTTCTCTGTTGACATTCACACCTTGGCGCTCATATGACCTTATGTAGTTGGGAGCGCCACAAAACCTCTACTAAAACAAACAATAGTGGTTGACCATGATTTATTGTACTTGTGAAATTGCCAGTTGTAATCACGAGTTTCACTCGTAGGATAAATTATGATATAACACTATAACTCATGTAATAAATTATTTGTCATCTCTGTGTTTAAAAATGTGGTTCATTTTCATCGCTCTTTAATAAAGAAACATTTTTTGGGGGGGGGGGGATATTTCAAGTTAATGCGAGGCTCCTGGGCTTTGATGGTTCCCAATCCCTGCACAGCTGGAAGGTTGATGGTTGTTTACCCCATGTGCACCAACCTAACAGGATGCTGAGAAAAATATGCCCCAGGCTCGTTTACTCTGGCCCTTGTGGTTCAAAGGGTTTAGCACACAGGCTGTTGGGTGAAAATTAACTGCTTTTTTCTTTTTGTAGTCAGCAGATCCAAGCCGCTGCTGCAAGTTCTTCTACGGAGAAAGACTTCAAGTCATCAGCAGTTTTTACAGAAGTCAAGAAGGCGCTTGACCAGGTAGCACAAGTTTAAAATTGCCATATTATCTTTCATGAAGCTTTGAAAAGTACTTTGGAGTCAAATGCTCTTGTTTTAATGTTTTTTTACTTTCAACATCAGAGAGTTGGTTGGTGCTGTGTTACTAATACTAGCCAAAATCTGTTTTTGATGAGTTGAGATTATAATCTCGTGTTTAAATTTTGTGAACTGCAATTTAGTTTCGTCCCGGAATTGAGACTACAGAACATACAGCTGTCCAACTGACTGTCTCTGCATAAACATTGCATGATTTGTAAAAGTTATAATTATTCTACATCACACTTTCTCTTCTTGGTGGCCCAGTTTGATCTCATGAGTAGTTACCAGGTTCCTTAACCTCCCATTCCAATTTTTGCATACATGTGACTGTTTTCCCCGAATTTAGTGGATTAAAATTATTTTTTTTAGCATGTTTTTTCTGCTTTTGAATGTATTCTATTTATTTATACCGACAGATTTTCTTTTATATAAATTGGGATTAATTTAGGATTCACTCTCAGGTGTTTTTGTGTGTATGTTGTGTGGGTTTTGTTTTTTGTTCCTTTGGGGGTTTTTTCTCTTGTCTTTCAGCTGTTAAGGTGTCTTTAATGTGCAACATAGGCTTGACTTCTGGGGAAGGGGTGTCTTTTATTTGAAAAGACAAGTTGCTTCCTGCTTGCCCAGGGAACTTAAAAAGCCTTGTAGTTACATCTAGTAATTGAGCATATGAGGCAAGCACCTTTCCTGTAACTTTAAGGAGCACCCTTGCAAGATCTTACTGTTTTTCATTCTTCATTTCAGGATGGTGCAAACCTTGTGAAAAAGATCAAAGGTGTCTATTGTTTCAAGGTCAAGGGAGCTGATGGAAAAGAGGGTGTTTGGGTTGTTGACGTCAAGAATGGCAACGGTGCTGTCAAATTTGATGCTACAGGTTTGTGCTTTGTTGGGGGGTTGTTGTTTTTTCACTTTTAAGCGAGCTCACTTTTGCTTAGGTTTGTCTTTTGTTTGTTTCTTGTTTAGAGAGAAAGAAAGAAACAGAAGAGACTGTTTTTTTGGTCATTTGACTCTTTCCGGACGTATCGCCGATATATTGGCACGAGTCCACATCCCTTGCGGACATATCGCCGATATATCGGCTGTGATGGGGTGCCTCAGTTTTGTTTCATTTTAACATGATCCATTATTTATAAGTACTCCCTTTTACTATTATTATTGAAAACTTGGAAAGGATTTAGGAAATGAAAACATGAATTTTCACTTTGTCAAAGCGTCAATCTGAAACGGGTGAATTAGTTCTTGCGGTCTTGCGTCAACAAAACAATGTAACCGGACTCAGTATAAATATCATCAAACAAAAATTGGAATACTGCATTCAAATAAAAAGCTGCATGTTCAGAAATTTATGGAATCTGCTCTTGGCCTGTATATAATATAACAAGATAGCAATGCTGATTTGCTTTCACATGTTTAGTGTGGGGAATTTTGTCCATCAAAATTTATTTTTCTCATCGCCATTTCTAACCCTGTAATACATACTTATGTTCAAAATAATCCTTGTTTCATGTTGGAATGTATTCTTTATTCAATTACCTTCTATTTGATATATCATAATATGTTACGTTTTGGATGATGGTTATGCTTATATAAAGTTATTTTGTACATCACCCGAGTAGCGAAATCGAGCCGCAAGTTAATTACATCTAGACCCCAAATCAAGTACGTCCAGAAAGAGTTAAAAAACTGGATTTCATTTTATGACTCGTAAGAACATAAACAACAATCACTGTTTTGAAAAATAATTTCTTAAAGCTAGCATTATTCCCTCTATTCTTTTGTCACTGCTTTAAATATGTTTTAAGCTTGTGATATTATGTATGGCTGTCTCATTTTTTAAAAGTGAAACATGCTATTCTAATTCATTGTTTTTCCTTTTGTTTAGCATTCATGGCTTGGTGTAATGTGAAATCAGTTTGTGATACACTATTCCTCCTGATTTTTGTGTCAAAGCCTTCAATGAACTGGCTGAAAATTTGAATGCTTTTTCTTCTATATGTGTCTATGCCTTATTTTGTTTCACAGACAACACTACTGAAAAGTAATGTCTAGCCACCAACGATTTTTTTACAATTTTGTGTGGCGCAGTTTGATATGATAAATATTTGGCAGATAACATTATCTTTACATTAGAAGCATTTTCACTTGCCAGAACTTGGGCTGTATCAAGCCAAAAACTTCCTTACATATGTAATTTTGATACTCTTGCAAGAGAGGTCTTTACGATTTTTTATTTTACTTGCGCTGAAGACAGTAACAGGATTAATGGAGGAGCTGAGGGTTGTTTTGAGTAGGTGGTGCTTTTCACAGCAGCATAACATACCAGTTGCTCTAGTGACATTGATGTACAGTCCATGCCGGCTTTAAGCACGGTAGTCGGGAGAAAGCTTAAGCATGCTTAAAGCCGAAGCGTGCTTGAGTGCGAAGTAGACATAATCCAGAGATTTTCTTGTTGAAAATTTCCTGTGTTATTTCCCTTTGTCTGTAAGTAGGCCTATAGTGGTCCCGCAAAAGTGTGCACTGTTATTTAGACACCCACAATGGTAGTTTTTGTTCGCTTGTTTGTTTTTGTTTTGTGGTCGAATGGGAAATGAAAACTTAATTTAGACAGCCAGTCACGATACAGCACACTAGGCCTACACACTGCCTGTGCGTACCACTGCCCGCTGTGCCACTCATACCACCGCCTTCATCCCACCTCGCGCGTGATACACAATCAGGATTAATGGATAGCGAGGGTCAAAGGTGAAATCGCAGCCAGCCTCCCTTTCTCGTCTCCCCGACTCTCTTTGTATTTTTTTTTTTTGGTTGTGTGTAGCTTTGCCCTTGGCCTAGGCTAGATCTTACGTCCGCGCGCGCGGCTGTGTGCATCTGCCTTCCTCCCCGCCCATGTGAGTGTGTGTGTGTCCATCACTTGCGTTCTTTGTGTTTCTTTTGACACACTCCACTGCTGCGGTGTAGACTGTGTTCGAACTTCGATGGGTCATCATGAAAATATTGACTGTCTTGTAAATGAAGCGTGCTTGAAGCCGAAGTTGCCGTGCTTAAAGGCATGTAATTTATATAGCAAAAATTCTGTAAGAGCCGTTTAGCGTGCCAAAGTCCGAAACGTGCTTAAGGCCGGCATGCTTAAAGCCGGCACGGACTGTATATTTTTTACTGAATCGTCTTTTTGATTGAACTCTTGTTGGTGGTCTGTACTCAGGCTCAGGGTGGTGATGATATTATGATGATAATATTTTTGATTAACATGGTATGGGTCTGGACAGTCAAGGCCTGTAGTCCCCTTTGACTACTGGGTGATGAAAATGTCAATCTTATTCTTCAGATAAAGCTGACACCACTATCATCATGAAAGATGATGACCTTGTGCAACTGATGACTGGAAAACTGAACCCCCAAAACGTGAGTACACTTTGACAGATCTGTCCGTCACCTTCTTCAAATCTTTGACCATAACCTCAAGATGCGAAGTACTCATGCTAGACTATTTGATGGGAAACATGATGAGATTTTTGAAAATCAGAACCGGAAAAAAAAAAATTGCATCGTATATTTTTTTCTTTTTCCAAGCTGAGCAAAACTAGTATTATGGGGAGACAAAGCAAAGTTGTGTATTTCAAAGAATTTTAAACCGAAAAGAAAGGGGCCAAGTTCCATCTCCATTATAAAGTCTGTTTTGTATTTTTAATATTTACTTGTTACTTCCGTCACTGGTATTTTAGTTCCCTCGGGCAAATATTCCATCAACATTTACTCTGTAAAGATATCTGTCCTGTTCATCTTTCTTCAATTGTGTCCAAGTTTTGTCCAGTTTCTGGACATCTGCTACCACCTTTTCCTGCCATGTTATTCGTGGTCTACCCCTGTTCCTGTGATCGTGGGGATTCAGTGCCTTTATGGTTACGTTTGTTACATATTATGAGTATATCAAAATGTCGAGGTAATAAAAATAATTTTATGAATGTGAAGTGACTACTTTGTGAAAGTATTTATATGTACAAGGAATCCTACTGAAAGTTTTGCATATGATTTGTCTTACAAACTTAGGAATCCTGCTGAAATTTTTGCGTATATGATTTATCTTAGAAACTTAGCTAAGTTGGACCTCATTCACTCCTTCCCTCCCCTATCTTTTGATTGTTATTACAAACAGGCAGAATGTTTAGTTAACAGTTAATTATCATTTTTTCTTCTTTTCTTTCTTTTTTTTTTTTTAAGGCTTTCTTCCAAGGAAAGCTGAAGATCACAGGCAACATGGCTCTGGCAATGAAGTTGAAAGACATCCAGCCCAAGTCTTCGGCAAGATTGTAAAAGAGATTGACTGTTTTCCTGTTCAATGGTTTGGCTGTGTTTGAGGAGGGGGTTGGGCGGTTGGTGATATTATTTTGGATCAAGTGATTTTATGATTTTCTTCAGTATTTTTAAAACAAGAGAAATTAAGTTATGCAGGTTTTTTCCAGGAAAACAAGAAGTCGCTCACTCGTCATTGTGTCGGACTGAGCAGATGTTTTGTTTGTGCTTTGTGAACTTTTACCATTATGATATGTTTGTATTGTTTCATTGATATTCTACACTTGAAAATGAATAAATTGTAACTCAGGGTCCTTGATTTTGTTTGACTCATGCACCATTTCTGATAAAACTCAAGCTGTCTCTCACGGGCGGCACCACAAACAAGCTACTGCAAATTTTTACTTTTGTCTGTTATGATTTCAAAATGTTACAGCGCTGGGTTTCGACCATTTTTTCAATTCAAAGGGTATTCGGTCACCAATAGCTGAGCTATCTTTGAATGAAAATTGTCAGGATGACATAAAAATAAATAGAAGAAAATGAATTCTTTTCTTTGTCATGTGACTATGTACATAACATCACTTGTCAATAGATTTGTTCCTCAGAATTATTGTAATCCTCATCAGAGCAACAGATTTATTATTCTAGATTTTTCAAGCAAGTGATTTTTATTTTATTTGAGTAGGTAATGGTTTCTGCATTATATGCTCTCGTAGCATAATGCCCATGCTGTCAATGTACAATCATAAATGCCTGATAAGTATTAAATATAAAGTGTAGAAGTAGAAAAAAACATGGGCAGCATATTTTCATTTATAGATTTTTCGTTGCTCATGTTCCAATAATAGCCCACTAATTATTATTGCTATTATTATTATAGGTGCTTGCCTTTCTTTGCTTGGGTGATCTGATATTTCTCTTTCGCTTTTGTCAGAATGGAAAAAGAACAAGATTCTAACACATGTGTACACATAGGTTCTGTCGAACCCTTTGATGAATTCAGTTTCTGCTGAATTTGCCAAAAAATTTGTCTACAAATCAAGAAGTGACAGCTCAATTATTCCTTGCCTTTTTCGCCTTCTTTACAATTTTGAGCCAACATTTCCATGATAGATTTTAAAGCGCTATACTTGCATATTCGTGCAATGAGATTGATTAATTAATGTCAACAATTTTGAATTCTTTCTTGTACTTGTACTCAGAAAAGCATAAAATTAAATTTTTTAATGTAATTTTCGTTTTCTTTTTCTTGGTGTTTTATAGTCTATGTTGACTTCTCTTTTTTTTTAAAAGTCTGTTGCCATTCCTAATCCATTTCTATCCATGGGCTAGTCTTACCAGGAAAATGGTCATGTCATTATCTTAGCTTAGAAAACATTTGACTTTCATATGAACAGCCATTAGGCTGAGGGGCACACACTCAAAAGCTACTTGATTAACACAACATATGGACGACCCAGACTGGAACTAAATCTGCGCTGCCATTTAGAATATGCGCACGCTTTTTGTTTTACGGACAATTTGATATGTTAGATTTACTGCGTTCACCTGCAAAAATAAAAAAAGAACTATCAGCATTTTTTTAAAAGTTGTGTTTTGACACAACAAAGCTCATTTAGTGCTGAGGGCAAAAGCATGACTGATACGTGATACTGACAAACAGAAGCGACAGCGGAAGGAAAAGAAGTGGTGGAGATTGCTGCTGAAAGTTAGTTTGAACTCACATTTTCAAAATAAAAATGATGACCCTCTTCATATGTTCAGAATCCTGCCTTACCAGCATTTGTTGTGTAGTGGAAGGCGCCGAGTGGGGAGAATTTTTATAGAGTAACTTGGTCTTTCTGCTGGGATGTTGTATCCCTTTCAGCCCAGTTTGGCCTAGACAGTCAAGGTTGGAAGCCTGCCTCCAAAATGATCTAAATTGTGTCGATGGAGGCGTGCAAACGCTTGGGGGAAAAAAATCCCACCTCAAATGTTTAATAAGGAAAGCTCAGGTTCAGAGAGGTGAGGGTCTCCTTAAGTTAAAAAGAGGAGACGGTTCTCAAAACTCAAAACAATGTAAATACAAGACCTTCAGGAATAAAGAATAAAAAATATTTATTTTCACATTCACAGATGGAGTAAATAAGACTATACAAAACTTTTCATGAATACAATAATGGGAATGAAATTACATGGAATGTAGGAGTGATTTTTTTACATGTCATAAAAATGGCACTGGGCACATCTTGCTTTCTCCATATATTGCTCTTACGCCTGTCTTTCCAATTTCCCATAATAAACAACTGTTCGCGGTTTCTTTAACGTACAACCATAAACAGGAAACATCATGTACAAAAAGTAGACATACCAGTACCGGTAAGTGTTTCATTTGAGTTGATAAGAAAATCATACATAAAAGTAAAAAGAGTAACGTGTAAAACTAAATAATGCTACAATAATCAGCAGAAATAGCAATAAGCCACATCATCACACTGCAAAACACACATTATAATGGAACACTGATGTGAACAGGGAAACTATATATTTCATTCACAAAAAAATGTCTTTTTCATAAAATGAAATATTTGTAATACCACGACTGGGGTCAAAGACATAAATTTCAACCCAATAGCAGTAGCCAGATTGTGATTCTTCAAAGGCTCTCTGAAGAGTAAAGTGAAATTGGTCAATTTGAAAATTAATTTAGCTCTTTTTTACAATCTGTCAACAGGTTTTTAAAGGCAATTTACACAACTTTGTTACTTGTTGTGTTCAAGTACCAGTAAGTAAGACGAACAGAAAAGGTTTCCAAGAATCGGACCACATACTTAGGGATGAGCACAGACTTGGAAAAAGAATAAAGAGATCTTATTCAGAGAGGCACTGAATGACAAATGTGAGAACAGAAAGGAGTCTCTTGACAGTACAGATATATTAGCTCCAGGTAACACTAAAACCATAACCCCTGAAATGTTGGAAACAACTGAAAAATATAGACATGCAATAAGAATTAGGCCCATATATAATGTATTTCTCAACTTACCAAAATATAATTGGCTGGCACATGTGTGCAGACCTGATACACAGTAAGCCCAACAGCTAAGAATTATCATCAAGAACTTGAAGTATGCACATTGAAAGGTATTGTTCATTAACATTCTGGAATGCTGGACAAGAACATATGACCTGACCCTCCATGATGACAAATTATCACATCTAATTCATTGGGCTTATTCGCTAAGCAAAAAATAGTCACTTGGCCACTTGCGGCCATGAGAGAAGCTTCCTCTATATTCACGACACTATCATATTGTGCAAGGTTGTTTTTGGCCGCAGCTTGGACATGTGAACGTACTAAGTCCAAAGTGTCGCGAAGCTTTTGCTGCTGTTTTATGGCAAAAATGACTAACATACAATTAGTGAAAAGTCGGCTATGGTGCGGCCACCCAGCCAAGATACGGTCGCCGGTCAGCCATTGGTGCGGCCACCTGTCCTAGGTGCAGCTGAAAGCATAGCCTAAGAGCAGCCATATAATAAATGTACAAACAAAAACACAAGACAAACCCAACTCTCAGCGTCTGATCAACCGACAAGGGGATAAATTAAGGGGATCATTCATGCTGTTGTAATACTTATTCATAGATCGCATCAATTCGCTGTAAAAGATGAGGCATGTTTTTCATTGTTCTGTCACTTTTGACTCCCACGGCACTTTCACCTGACCCCTATCTGACCTCGACGCCGCGTGTAACTGGGTCATCGATCGATATGAACGCTCTTCCGGTTAACTACCGGTACCTCTCTTTCCATACATCTAGGCACATCATTTCATTCTCAACATTGTCTTCCTCTACCCGCTTTCCATCTTCCAATGCTCTCAACTCCTTCTCACACTCAAACGTATATATCCTACAAGTCATCTATCATACCCGCATCAATATCTTCATCAGACCAATCGTCCAGTACCATTTCACTTACATACTGAACTGTCGCTTGAAATATTTGAGTCTCTTCTTGCTTTCCTTTTCTTTCCCTTTACAAGCTTTTCTCATCTCCATCTCAATCCTCTTTTCTTCTTTTTTTCTAAGTCTGTCTTCCTTCCGTTTTTTCAACTCCTGTTCCTTCTTTTTTTTAAACTCCTCTCTCTTTTTCTCTCTCTCTTCTTTCATACGCTTCTTTTCTTCATGTTTCTGTGCTTTCTCCACCTTCTTTTTCTCCGTTTCCGCTTTCCTTTTCATCTTTCTTTCTTCTTCTTCTTTTTCAATCAAAATGTCAATAAATTGCTGGTCACTGATAAGAGAGGGCGGTTGCTATGATGTCAGATGCAGACTATAACTAAAAAACTTTCTATCCTAGGTGCAGCCAGTCTGGCCGCATCTGGCCCAACATGAAATATAGCATGGTTTACATGCGGCCACCCCCATTTCTCTTCAGTTTGCCTTAAAACCAACTTTTTCTACCTACCAATTTCATTACCAAGTATTTTAAAACATATCCATACCAAAATACAAGTAAACAAATATTCATATTTACAAAAAAAAAGAAAAATTCAACATACCCGAAATTTTCAATAGACTATGTTTTCTGATATGTCAACTTTGACCTGTCGTGACGGCTCGCCGTAACCCAAGAGACGTGCCGTCTAAACACGACGCACGCGTTGTTAAACCACAGGAAACTGCTCTGATAATTTCGAGTGTAAATTGGCCGCGAGGTGAACGCGAGACTCTATTCCATTTGCAAGTCAGTCATACCATTTGAATGATGGAAGAATTATTTAATATTAGCCACAGAAACACATTTTTGCTAAATCAGGCTTTCACATATATATATGAATGTATACACAACACACTTATCAAAACTGTAGCTTAAGTAATATGACACACTAACAGCCAAAACATGAACAAAATGTTGTAGTCGTGGCATACATGGTACATACATAATATATTCAAAATATCCACAAATACCAAAACAAGTTATTTCTAAAGGAATGTAGCACGTGTACTACAGCATAGACTGAACCTTGCTGTATACACTGTATACACTGTATACAGTTAGTATACACTGTATACAGTTAGTATACACTGTATACAGTTACAGTGCTGTCCACTTATCATCAACCCACAGGAGAGCAACCTCCTCCAAACAGCGACTTAGTTTGTATAACAGAATTTTTCAATAAACAATACCCTTTAACAACAACTTTTTACTCTAACAGTAACCTTTGTTGCAATTAATTGTCTCCTCACCAATCCCCCCCCCCCCCCCCAAAAAAAAACCCAAACCCTTAACTTTTGACAATTTGTAGTAAACAGTGTGAACACCGAGATTGGCCTAAATTCCTAGAATGTTTGCATCCCTCCTCTCTTGTTTATCACCTGACAGCTCACAACAACTGACTGCTTGGGCGGAAAATACACAATGCTGAGTACAGGAGCTCTCAGTTGACACCATGTTGCAAAGAGCAACCTTCCCTCAAAGTCTCTGCAGGCTGGAAGGAAAAGTCTCAGCAAATGTGTATAACACTACCGCCCAGCGATCGAGCATCAGTTTAATCCGTTATATATCATCATCATCCCATCATTCGATTGGGACTCATATTTGCATGTGTTTGTGTGTGTGTGTGTGTGTAAATTCAGTTAACAACAATCTCTGCCTAAAAGGAACCAAAGCTTGCTTCCCAAGGGGGTTGCTGTTCGCAGAAACTGCTGTATATTCTATAATAAACATGTATGTAATGAATTGTAATGACAATCACAACCTGGGACATGTACATTTTCTTATACTGTAAAATACTTCTTTCTAGAATGGAAGTGAAAAGCAAAGGGGAAAAAAATGATCATTCCAAGTTCATCATTTTTAAGAAAACATGTGATTTCAAAAACATGTTTTTTGTTGAGAATAAAGGTAAAAGCAGAATCGCTGTTTCAGAAGCTATGAACAATCCCCATTCCTTGGTACAACCATTCTATAATTTATGTTTCACACTTATTTCATCTATCAGACCTTGACGTTTCACATCATCCATTTTAAGAATAAAGGGTCTTTGCTCATTGCTAGTTAATCTGCTTGGGATCTCAACTTTAACCAGTGGAACCATTTCAACCTCCTCCTCTACACTTTCTAGAGTAGTGCAATCATGAAGAGGCTGAACTGCAATTGTGACTCTGTACTTCTCATCCACTATTTTAAAACGGTAGCAGTTGGAACTTGTTGGGGTGACCCTAGCAGTGTTTCGGAACTTCTCTATCTTTTCTGGCAGATTACTTCCTGTTACTTCCACCTCACCTCCAACACCTATGAAGCACCGAATCCCCACAATTTCTTCAAATGAATCGTATTTTGTTGCTCGAAGATAAATGTCCAAGCCTGTACGATAATCTTCTGCTTCCCTATTATTTCGATTGAAAAAGCGGATTCGTCCTTGAATGTAAATTTCCGAAGTAGGAAGGTATTTTGACTTGGTGATGATGTAAACCAAAGGAGACGCAAGAATTATGGCCTCCGTACTCGCCAAAATTGAGTTTTTCTGTCGGTGAAAACCCATTTTGAGCCACATGTCGTGCTTAAACATGACCTCGTCTCTTTTCAACGCAAAATGGTCCAGCTTTGTCCTTGAGTAATACCGGTGTCGATCGAGGTGCAACTGCAGCTCAGGGTGACCCAAGTCAAAGTAAATCTTTTCAAGTGAGAAGCGGTACGCCAGATGCATAATATCCTCATTGATCACCGCGTCACCATCCGCATTCCACACCATCAGACTCGCGCCGGTGTTGTCCGCTAACCACTTCAGTTGTGGCACCGAGTTGTGGGTCAAGGAGAGCCGGGCCTGAAAATATCACAATACAAGGTTTTAAGTTGGTTTGAGAGAGAGAGAGAGAGAGAGAGAGAGAGAGAGAGAGAGAGAGAGAGAGAGAGAGAGAGAGAGAGAGAGAGAGAGAACCAGATCATAGTAAGGGGGGAAAACAAACAAAACAAAGATAAACAAACTTATAAATAGAACAACAACAAAAAAGGACTGCCCAGCAACACCATCAAATTACATATAGTTCAGTATGGGTGAATTTGAAATAAAAGTTACAAATAGAGCTCTATGAAGGTAATGCAACATTTGTAATGAAAGATTGATAATCAAAGGCATGCAAACAAAGTTACCGTTTCAGTCACAGTTCCTGCAATTTGATTTGTATAGTGAATAAAATAGTCTATTATATTCAAAGGCAAATTTTTGCCTTACACAAGAGTAACACATCTTCAAACATAGCATCAAAAGGAATTGGCAAAGTCCAGTAACTAATATTAATAGACTGAGCACATCAACAAACTCACACACTGCCCGAAGTCACAATATATTAACAAGCTCACACCACACATCACGCTGACAACCACAGCAAAAATGATCTCAATCTTTCACTGCCCGGTCAAAAGTTTACCCACTTGGAAAACGAGGAGCTGATTTTCAAAATCCCACTCTTGAACCATGTCCAACATGTCCCACACCATCTCCCAGGTGTAAGCACTTTGGCGCATGTCTGTTTGCGTGGCCGTCGTCCAACCCAGGGAGAGTGTGCATCTGTAAAACATAAACCCACAAATAATTATACAAGGATCACAGCTCAAGAGATCTTCAAAACAACTGAATTGGAAGAAAACTGAACCAGGAATGCGGTATTCTTCCTCAAGGGGCTGAAACTGAGACAATACAATGGGAAGGTGGAAAGAGCGAGTCAGTGAGCAACAAGAGTAACTGAGAAGTTATAAGACCCTTTTATCAGAGAGAGAGAGGGGGTGGGGGGACCATAAAATATCACTCCCCAATAATTCAAAGCTATGCCCCTATATACAAAACTCAGTCCATTATTTGTGGTAGATTTAGTCCAACATCAACTCGAGCAGGAGGAAAGGATACTTGATATTTCAGACAATTAACTAAAAGTAAAACTTTTGTCATTGTCACATTGACATTCCATGACATGACCTAGAAATTCATGTCTCCTTTTAGGACGGAGTAAGGCTATTCCAAAGAAAAATCTACCTAAAGCAACTGTAAACTCAGATAAACAGCATGTATCACAATTAAATCTTAAACTTGAAATGTCAAAACTCAAAGTGTCAGATTCATTCTCAGATAGGGTTGAGTTTTTAACAGCTTCATCTTGACAACTCATGTTCATCGGCAGGGAAAAAGCAATGTCCAATAAGAAATATGTGAGGCATCGTGGTGAAATGAGGCGCTTCTCAAAATAATGAAATCAAACAAAAAGGCATTTTTCACCACTTAGGCAATTTTATGGAATTCTTGTTTTTTGGCTCAACATCTATTATGTTCACATGAAAACACATTCCCATGTTGTTTTTACCGAAAAATGATTAAAGGCACAAAATATATAATTTTTCAGTATTCAAGGACTATCAAGGTATTGAAGTTACCAAACTTTGGCATCCATTTTCTCGCTAATTTTACAACAAAAAAACAGGCGACTCCATCTCTTTCCCTCGCAAATATCTCAACTTCAATTCAAGATGGACGGGTATTTTTACATTGAAAGCAAGGAAAACGAATAAGCTTGCAGATAACACCAATAACTCCACATGCCCAAAAATTGACGAGCACCCGATTCAAACTTGTGACACATATATATAGCTCCATTTCCATAACAGACAGAGCATTTGGAAACCAGCAAACCAATGCGGATGAAAATATCAAGAATGCTGTTGCTTGACTTCTGTCATAGGCTACTTCATTGCATCACATTGATGCAAGCTGCATCCTACGACTGATTTACGACCGACATGACCTCATACTACATTCTGATTACATCAGTTCTCACAAGAAGTCATCATCATACAGATGTTATACACCAATACTGTTGCTTGTCATTTTTACAGACTGAAAGCGATTAACATATATTCAGCCAAGAAATCTCTCTATTTGTAAATTGAGCTCACACCAACGTAAACACAGTGACTCTACATCCTAATCAAAGAATTATCTAAATCTAAAGTCTGTAATGACCAGAAAAACAAAAACAAAATCTCTGGTACTAACCTGGGAAACAGTCTTTTCTGTGTCTTTACAAAGCGCTGAAGATCTATCACTGTTGGTCCTCCATGGGGCCCTTGTAAGACATCAGCATGTATCCAAACAGGATATTTCATAGGGTTCTAAAAAAATACATGCAAGAAAGTTATTTTAAAAAATGACATTGTAGTCAAAAAAGTAATATCAGCTTTGTGAAATTCAACCATTTAGCTAAATGATAGATTTATGTCCTGTTACATAGGGCTCACCTTGAACAAAAGTAAAACCAAATAGAGACAATTTCTAAACACAAAAGCATTTTTGCAAGAGAAAACATTAGCCCTCAATGCATCATTGAAATCTTGAACTGTACTTCACTGAAGAAGTCTCACAAGTCCTGCACAACTGTTGGCCTCCAGATTTTCCCTTCAAACATCAAAGAAAAAAAGTTCTCATATTCGCCCTTTTCCCCTGCTTATAATTCGCTACAAGTAAGGAAACTCAACATCTGCTCCCCAAGCAGTACATTTATGCATTTATCAAACAATTTGAGCCCCCCCCCCCCCCAGAGCAAAGAGTTGGTCCCCTGGGGGATGACCGAGGAACAAGCTCTAAAGTCAGATTGTTAATGACATTAATCTAAATAGCTGCCAACTTTTCAAAAAAAAAATTTTTTTAAATAGATTCCACCTAGGCAGTGGGTGAAGATGATGTGCACTAGCCGAGTAACGCCCTTCACTAACACTTTGCTGCGTTCAATAAAGTTAAGCTATTCAATGGAGAAGTGTAGCAAAAGACCTCGCTGCTGGACTTACGGCTTTGTTCTCACTATTATTCACAGATTCAGTCTTGAAAATTCATAATTTTTCATCATCATCAGCAGCAATAATAGAAAACAAAAAGTACTTATTTTCTAAAACAGAAATGGACTTCCGTACTCAGAACCTCAAATACATACTAAATGTGTTTCTACTTGTCACAAGAGTGACTGTTTGAGTTAACCAAAAAGAAAATTCACTAAATGAGTCTGGTGGAACCGTAAGTACTTACCAATTCATTAAAGTCTTTTAAAATCTGCAGGGATATTTCAACAGATTCAATTGAGTGGAAATGAAGTTTAATGCCTTTGGATCCAAATTTTATTTCTTGTAGCCAGTCACTCAAAGTGATGTCACTGTTGGTCTTTGGTGGTCGTGCCATGACAGGGACAAGTGTCTGAGAGGTGGTACCGTGGCCTCGTAATATCACATCAGCAGCAATCATGTCAACTTTGTCATCTGAAGGACACAAAAGTTAAATCAACAAACCTGTACAATTAAGGGGGAACTGTCTGACTTTAGTGAAGAAAAAAGAAAAGACTAAATTTTGTTCAGAGTACAAAGTAGGTTACGTCTGTTACATTGTCTTAATTGAAATCTTTAAATTAGATATATATATACAAAAACACATTCCATTTACCACGTTCATGAAGAAGGCCAAGACCTTATCATATCACATTTATCAACATTTTAGCGTGATCGGTGTCAGTGTTCCAACGGGAAAGAGTCTCACTCAAATCATTACTCAAAAATAACAAACATAAAGAGAACATTTTGAATTCAACTTTAAAGAGCCCAGTAATGAACTGAACTGTAATATAATTTTGAACATTTTTATTCCATTTTATTAAAATTTAACTCTCCCATCCCCCACCCCACACACACAGTGCGCAAAATGTAAAGCCGTTGTCCCACATACCGGGAAGCAGTTGGCCTACACCAGTAGTTGTACTATATTTGTTTCTCTGCAAAAAAACATTCTGATCATTATGTTATGAAATTTTCAGGACATTGAGAAAATTGACAAGTGGCAATTGCACATGTTCATCAAAATAGGGATCAGAATTGAAAATAAAAATATATGCACATTCATCACCCGAATCCTCATTGTGGCAACACTATAAAGCAGCACTCCCGCTAGGTCTACTCTACTCAACGATTTTAAAAAGTTCTCAGTCCAGCCATTGTAAACAAACATATTTCCACGCTATAAAGGCCACATAAACCAATGAAGAGGAGGGAAGTTAAAACTTTAAAAAGTGTGTATGTTTAAAAAAGTGATCCTTCCCACATTGTTTTTGTTGCCTTGTTAAGTCCAGTGGAACAGCTTACTGTCACCAATTGGCGTCCCGTGAGGGGGGGTTGCATTAAATCTAGTTACTTCAAATCTGAAAAAAAAAACCACTTTAAAGAGCATTTTCTACTCACCTTTCATCGCAGCCTTAACTGCTTCCCTGCTGTTAACTTCTCTGGCCCATCTAACTTTACTGGCATCCCCATCCTTATTAAAGAAGACAAGGCAACCAACATCAGGACCAACATCGAGAAAGGGAAGTCGAGGAACTAAAAACTTCGGAATAAAACCTGGGGAAAAAAAACATGAATTTCAAAACTAATTTGCGATCAAAACCAATGCAAAGTAAGATTAAATTCAATATATTTTTTATGCATTTGGCACACATTGTTAACTAAATGATAGGCAGTCCAAATTGATGAAAAAAACATTGTTGTAATGTTTCATTTTTATGCAACAAACATTTTAAAACATTCACATTTTTTATATAAATATAACACAATAATCAGCCATAAAACAGTTGCATATTGTACACATTGAACAGAGCTGTTATAAATTATAATGTGCAAGGAAGACGGTGCCATTACATTTATAATAATCATATTTAATTCAAAATCATACAGGTTACTACTTATTTACTGCATGATTTAACTGTTACAGAAATTCCAGCGCAAGCTGGCACTTTTAAAAGTTCAAAGTGCATTGTTAGGGCCTTATTTTTTTACTTTTGACTTAATTGACTGATTCATCAGCCAAGTGGTTAAAGATTTCTATACAAATTACAGTCATACGACACTACCTCCAGCCCCAGCACAATCAAAAACCATATAAAATTCACCTCACCTTCATTTACGATATAATACAATTGAACCTGCCATGACGGCCACCTGTACAAACAGGCCACTTTCCATTTCCCCCTTGCATTTTTTATAATTGAACTGTGTAAAACAGTCACCTGTCCAACATGGTCCACCTTATTTTATCAACCCACTGTCAAATTTATCTGCCTCAGGCGGCTAGGCGTGGTCACTCATTGCCCGACGCTTTGCCATAAATGTTGAATCGAGGAAATTGTGGACGGGCCCTCATATTCATTCACCTGTCGTTATTGTTAGTCCCCCCAATGAATATTTACCCAAGTTGACCAATGGGTAGACCTAACAATACATTCTCAACTGCTGGTGAGGAAAGCGTAATCCGTCATAACTGAAAGTCCCGCCCACAACTCATGTACAAATCGTATGTGTGAGGTGGCTGGTCACTGTTTTGTTTACCTTCCACTGTAACAAAGTAACAATGGACGTTGATGTGAACTTGCGATAGAAGCGTCGCTGGTTCTCCAAGTGGTGGCGACCCGTGTGTTTGTTTTACCATGGCACTCAGTCTACATTGTCTTACTTAAACAACATTTCATTTATTGCACAAAATCAGCAACAAAAAGAAAGCTAACCAAAAAACAAAACAGCAACACAAAAAAAAATTCTTACACTACCCTCCCACTTTTAATAAAAAGAAAACAATAACCCATTTGAATCAGCCTTACGGCAGTCTAAAGACTGAGATCAGCCCCTGTTCAGACTTCGGAAGAGAATTATTTGCTTTAGACTTCATTTTGATCAGTCCTGCTATGACAGCCACCTGTGTTATAACGTCACTTTTCTCCTTGATAATGGGTGGCTGTTTTACACAAGTTTGATTGTATGAAGCTCGAGCCCATGATCATAACTATTGACTGATTTATCAGCCAAGTTAAGATTCATAGAATTACAATTAGTCAAACCTGTGTAAGACGGCCACCCATTGTCAAGGAGAAAAGTGGCTGTATAAGACAGGTGGCCGTCTTAGGCAGGACTGATCAAGATGAAGAAAACAAATCCCATTCCCAATCAAAAGTAGCCGCATTATTGTTGTTTTTGTTGTTGGTTTGTATTTTCTTTGTTATTTTTATTTTGTTGCTGATTTTGAGCAAGGGTGACAATAAAATGAAATGTGTCAGACAAGGAGGACCAAGTGCTATTGTAAAACAAACATATGGGTCGCCACCACTCGAAGAACGAGCGACGCTTCTGTCACAAGTCCATGTTGACGTCCATTGTTACTTTGTTACAGACTGGGTAAACAGTGACCACTCATCTCACTTACGATTTGTGTATGAGTTCTTGGCGGGGCTTATGGGTTATGAGGGATCACACGCTTACCTCACCAGCAGCTGGAAATTGGTACCTATTGGTCAACAGTGGGAGGGGCCTATGCAACATGGTTGGTTGGAAGGACTACCTAACAACAACGACAGGTGATTAGATTATGGCGGCTCGCCCATAACGCCAGGGGTCAATGCACAATTAATGACAAAATGTAATGGAGTCACTAAGGTGGCCGTCTAAGACAGGTGTTATTGCTTAGTGTGATAGGGGTTGTGTGTTAAAATATGATGGCCGCTGCCGCGTTGAACAGGTGCCCGTTTTACACAGTTAAATTATATAGAAAAAACGCAAGGGGGGAAATGGAAAGTGGCCGTTTGTACAGGTGGCCGTCAGGGCAGGTTCGACTGTATAACTTATATTCGACACTAGACGATATCTAGATCTAGCTATCTACAGGCTTCAGCACAAATGACAATGTCAATAAACTATCAAAGTGTCTACGTACACGGTGACCGGGCACCTAGTCTCAGTATCTACAAGTCTACACACACGGTAACCGCAATGAAAATAAATCAATATTTGTCCTGTGCTGTCACTTGATGCAAAAAAAAGAAAGTCATATAAAGGCATCTTGTCGGGTTCGCCATCGTGACCAGTCAGTGAACCTGTGTGTTCGCGTCACATAATGAGTACCGGTTGGGGTCACCAAAGTTCATTCAAAGCAAAGTATATGTAGATCTATATGGGCTCCAGAATGGGGGGATTATTGATTTTTTTAAAAGGTACAGTCGGGGGAGGGGTGGGGTTGAAGGCAACACTAGATCTAGATGACAAAAACTGAACTGCCCGGTTACCTTGTACGTGACACTGAGACTACATGCCCGGTTGCCGGTTACCGTGTACATAGATGTTGAGGCTACATATATATATGCCCGGTTACTGTGTACGTGACACTGACTGAGACTAGGCTACATGCCTGGTTGCCGATTACTGTGTACAGACACTGAGGATAGGTGCCCGGTTACCATGTATGTAGACACTCCGATAAACTATTATTTTAAAAAACAATTATAAATATAGCCTATAATATCATCATATAATGATATGAATATGAATGACTATGACAAGTCAAAGCTTACCTCCATTTATGATATACCAAATATATATAATGAGGCTTATGCCCACGATCTGGAAAAGAATATATTTCTTGAAACTTCTTGGAACTGCCGGCATGGGAAATGGCTCTCTTGAATTCCGCATTGTAACAGTTTCAACGACAAGCTGTTTCCCTCGACTCAATGAGCTTGGAACAGTACCTCAACAACAACAGTGTCAACAGGACTCTCTGCTGACAATCAAGGACATAACACTGTACAAAAGACTGCTGTTCTTACACAGAAATCCAAAAACAGTAAGTGTTTCTAAAACTGAAAGATGAAACTGGAGGGGACAAAAATTGGAGTCAGTAAAAGTTAGATTCTCTGGTGTTCAAGTTCACAGTCATTTCCTTTTTGCGTTTCCTTTTTCGCCATAGAGACCGAAAGTTGCGGTACTACAGCGTTTACAAACAACCTTTCCCTTCCGGCTTCCGGTCACAGAATTAGTGTAGAATTCTGTGCTTCCGGTAAAAGTTTTTCCCGAAGTTTGCCAGTTTGCCAGTTGGAGCGGCGCACTGTTTTTGGAGAAACCGTGAACAGATATTGTGTATGTTCGGTAGTTGGTGGAATGGAAGAATCAAAGTTTCCGTATATCGAACTCAAACTTTCCTTCCAAACCCCACCACTCTTTTTGGATCTCTGAAAACGCATTCTTCACGATATGTCTTGTTCTTTCAAGTGAAACCTCCGGGTTCTGGCTGTAGAGCAGCAACAGTCAACATAAAAGCGCCTCCTGTGGCAAGAAAGCACTAAAGTTAAGTAGAAGTAAAAGGGGGGCCCCCCCCCCCCCCCCCCCCCACATCCAAGTACCGAGGGTGCACTTTACCTTGAAATTAAAAGTAATCTGTTGTGTGGTGTATGTGTGAGTGTGTGTGTGTGTGTGCGCGCGCGTGTGTGTGTGTGTGTACACTAGCCACACACACTAGCAAATTTAAAATTGACACAAAATACATTGTACATTTTGTAACGTACCGGTCTGTATACATGAAAAAAGGAAGAGGGGAGGGGGGGGGGGCTAAATACGTATTTTGGGGGTCTAGAAACATGATTCCACATGTGCATGTACTTCGTGTATGGAAGGATGCGTATTGTGTGTGTGTATGTGTGTGCTTGCGTATTTGTGCATGTGTGTCTGTCGTAAAGTATGTGCAGGTGTTTGTATGTGTCTAATAGAGAAAAAGAGAGAAAGATTAAGAGGGAGAGATAAAAAGAGAGGGGGGGGGGGGGTAGAAAGAGAGAGGTGAGTACATGTAATATGCATGGGTGTCCATCGTTTACGTAAGTAAATTAATTTTGATTGCCGGGGAACGAGGAGGGCCGATGAGACTTGTTCAAGGAGGAGGGAAGCTTCCAAGCATCCTTTTGTAATCACTGCCCATTTTTGCCACCCTTATCCCTCCTCCGGTGTCTTGAGTCTTGATTGTTTCTACTACTTCTAGCTATGTTAACTGTTGTTATTCAGCCACACCAGCTTTTAAGATAGATATGATATCGAACACCAAGCCTTCTCGGACGGACAAGACAACAAAATCTCGGAGGTCCTGTGTGTAAACTGTGCATGTAAAAGATCCCGTAGTGGTCCCAAAATCGATAAGAGTAGGCTTCGACCGTTACCCGGGCAAAATTCAAAATTAATTCTAACCAAACTGAAAATACTAATATACTTCTAATGTGTCCCGCACGCTCATAAAATGACCTTAAGCAGTTGCGAGGGCCGTAAAACACTTGCCAAAACAAAAACAAAAACAATCACTGTGACTCTTCTTCAGATTCCAAGTGGCCTTTCCCGTTATAGCTTATTCTGTTGATTCCAATCCAATATTTCTTTTGTCATGCAGTTGCATGGCTTCATGAGAGTAATCCAATTCATCGCCACCGCCTTCTCCAAATGTCGTATCCCTTTATACAAAATAAGAAAAGATGTGCAAATGTATGTCAAAGTTTCTACCAATCATGCCGCGATAGCATGTGTTGCAACAACAGCTGTCGTCTGAAACAGTCAACTCTGCTCTGACCACTTTTATTTCAATCCAGCCTTTTGTACTTTTGGATTACTTTTCCTTTTTGCAATATAATTTGTATGTCTTCCTACACCGCTAGGCCCAGTTGTCGAGAGAAGGTGGAATTATCGGACATAGGCCAACTGTGTTACTGTTTGGATAGTCATGTTGTTCCGTTTGGGGGTTTCTTTGACTCCGTCGATCCATCTTTTTCGTGGCTTTCCTTTTGCGTTGAAGCCGTTGAATCGCATGTTGTAAGTTATAGGCTTTGAAGGCTGACTGCTGTGGTCCCATTCTCGTTATATGTCCAAATCACGATATTTGTTGTCTCTCGATGTGCATGTATTTCATGCTCGATTCGACGCCTTCTTGATGTCCAATGTCTTCGTTTCTTTGTCTGTCCCCTCTTGTTGTGTTTAATGTTTCTCTAAGACATTCCATATTACATGCTGTTACTCTATTCTGTTGCACTTTGTTGAGGGTCCAGTTTGGCACTGGTAACAAAGAGTTGGTATTTGTATAAAGATTGATCTGATGAGTTGGTTCTTTGTATCCATTGGGATGTTTTGATGGGAGAGAATGGGAGCTAGATTTCTATTTGGTATGAGACTGCATTTGTGAGGCAGCGTGGTGGAATCAGGCTCTCGTCAATTTTTGGGCATGTGGAGTTTTTGGTATTATCTTAAAGCTTGTTCACTTGTCTTTTTTGGAATAAAAAATATCCATTTGTCTTGAATACAAGTCGATATATTTTCGAAAGAAGGAGGTAAGGGTCACCTGTTTTCAGAGGTAAAATTAGTCAGAAAATGGCCTCCAAAGATTAGTTATATCCTTGGCTTAAGAGTCCGTGGTAACTGAAAAATTACATTTTTTGTGCCTTTAATCGTTTTTCAGAAAAATAAACACAGAAATGAGTTCTTTGATAGGCATGAAAGGTGTTGATCCAAAAAACAAAAATTTGATAAAAATTCACAAATCTGCGGAAAAATGCAAGTTTCCTCACTTTGATTATTTTGACGAGAGCCTGATTCCACCACGCTGCCTTACATTTGTCTTTAGTACTCATGTTTCAATTTCTCTATCCATTTTTTTCATCTGATGTGAGCATGCTTTCAAGGTATTTAAATTCTTGTAGTTGTTTTAGTTGAGCTTGGGTGACGTGGACAGTGAACGGGTTTTGGTTTCTGGATAACTTCATTACTTATAATCTTAGTTGTACCCATTTTCTTTCCATACTTCTCACATGCCTTGTTCAATTTAGTGATACTTTTATGTTTTTGGAGGCTGTCCTGGTCTTGGTGTATGAGGCTCTGGTCGTCAGTGAAGAGCAGTTTGTTGAGCTCCTCTGAGTTGTCATTTGCGTCATTTGTTATCTTGTCCATGTAGACGATGAAGAGTAATGGTGATAGGACACAGCCGTGTCTGTCACCTGATGTCATTTTGACCCTGTCGGTGTTTCCCGGGCTAGTTCTTACACAAACTCAGACTATTTTCGTACAGTGTTGTGGTGTTAACGGGGAGCAGGTCTTTCAGTTTCACCCCATTTTTTTTTCAAAATCTCGTTTCAACGCCTGCTCCTGCTCATTCGTTCAAATGCCTTCTCCTGATGTTTCTGCAATTTTTTTTAAAAGAAAGAAAACTATCAAGGATGTGATGCTGCATTAAAATAAAGAAGTAATTTTCTGCTGTCACCTGGTGCCTGTTACAAGATAAACATATGTATACCGGTACATGTATTGAACATTACTTATACATGTATGTATTGTAAATTCAATTTTCCTCGTTAACACTACCCTTGTCCTTTGCTTCTTGACATGGGCTAATTTAGGTTGCGGGAAATAATTTTCTTTAGACCATATAGACTACAATGTATTATAGACTGTATCAGGTCAGATCTACGGCACATATCTAGCTTCTGCGTTTGTTGCCATTTTTTTGTCCAAAAGTTGCCACAAAAATGGCACAAAAATGGCAAAAGTTGCCACAAAAATGGCAAAAGTTGCCATAAAAGTTGCCATCAATTTTCAAGCTTTCATCTCTCTGTAACGACGTATATATACAGGCATACGTTGATAGAGGTAACTTAAATTAATCTAAAGAATTTTTCTGTGCTCTGTTTTAAGCATCCAGAATATCATTTGTAACCACAATGAGTGTAAAATCGTGAAAAATAAAGGTTTCACAACAGAATGAAATCAAAATTAAAACAGAACATAAACAACCACAAAAAGTAACAAGTATAAGGGCGTGCATCCATCTATCCGGAGATTGGCGTTTTAACCCTGAACGTGCGTAATTCAAGAAAAAGTACAGGATACTACATGTAAATTGTGGAATAACACATAAGGGGCCTGTGTCAGTACATGTGTTCGGTTTTGGCGGAGACACGCTCTAACATAACACATTTATATATATATATATATATATATATATATATATATATATATATATATATATATATATATATATATATATATATAGGAACAACAAATTAAATTACATTTACGCTATATATACAAACACAAAAAAAGAAAAACAGCACATCGACATCAGAACAATAACAAGAAAAAAATAAATAACACAAAAACATAGTAAAACACAACAAAGAGGGAAAAATAAAAGAGAAAAAGCAATCTATACATAAATATAAAAGGTTGTAATGGAGTAATATTTTTCACATGAAAATAACAAATCAACGTGGTGTCAACTAAGTGAGAAAGTGACGAAGTGAAGTGTAAGTGAAAATAGACTATCTTTCTAAAAGTTCTTTTTTCCCCAGATATTTATTCCCCTTTTTTCGATTTTTTCCCCGGCGGTTTTATTTTTAAATTTTTTTATTTATTTATTTAATTGCCAAAAATCGCGGCCGCGACAAACGCAGATGCTAGATAGATGAACGTCACTTTCTCGCTTCCATTGCTGTCTGTGATAAGTATGGAAAGAACATTTTTCCCTATTTTCCTTCTTGACTTTTTACCTCCACATAATTTGTCTTGGTGGAAAAGAAAATTGTTTTCAGTGTAAATTGCAAAGATCATACAGAGTGCCCGGATATACCGCTATTGTTCTTGTCAGCCGGTATTTGTCGTGGAAAAAAATTCTACGCGCGTTTTCACGACCTGTCGTGGAAAAAAAGGCGTGGCGTGTTTTCACGACATGTCGAAGACATACCGGCTCTTACCGCAGAAGTTTAGCTAAAATACAATTTTTGTTCTGATCTAGATCTAGTTTCCGATTTTGGACCTGTGAAAATGGTATGGGTTTAACGCCCCTATCAATACTATTAGGTTATTTAAGTGGCGGGGCCTCCTAGTTTAACGTCCGTCTCCGATAGGACCGTTGGACCTGTTCTACTGCCATTCCGATAAAGGTATCAAAAGTACCGGATTCGCGAAGGTTGCCCTTGTGAAACCCGAAGCCTACATTATCTCGAAATTCTGTACTTACCGCAACATGTGTTTTTAAAAAACTTTGAAGAGAGAGAGAGAGAGAGAGAGAGAGAGAAAGAAAGAGAGAGAGAGAGAGAGAGAGAGAGAGAGAGAGAGAGAGAGAGAGAGAGAGAGAGAGAGAGAGAGAGAGAGAGAGAGAGAGAGAGCACTTGCCTTTCTAGCTTCTCAGACGGTAGATCTAGAATCTAGCCCTCGGCAGTAATTGTAGACATATTATTTGAGCGCTCTCTACCATTGTCCCTCTGTGCGGCTCGGTCGTGAATTTATTAAATAAAAAAAAAAGAAGTGAAATTGTGCTCTGGTTTTGGCATTCGACAATCGAACGCGTAAAAAAGGGACCCCGTAAAAAAATGGTGGAAAATTAGAGTAGGCCTATATAGGCTTGGTGATCGTACAGTCAGGATTGGTGTTCTCGGGTTTGCGGCTGTCAGCGATGCGATATGACAAATCGAATAGCGGAAATGAAAAAATGCCATTTTCAGCCCCAGGAAACCTTTAAAAATCTGTCATTAAAAGGCCCATTCCGTGCAAGGAGGTTATGCCAATCATTTTTGGTTATACAGTAATTGAGGCTGCTCTGTGGGCGGCAACACACGCCTGATATAATAAAATAGCATAGAAGCCCTCTCTCGCACCCGAATTATGGCAGAGCGTTTGATTATAGTCAACCTGCGCTGGGGGCTGTCCGCGCCCTCGCACTGAAATCTAGATAGGAAAGAAGGTTTTATTCTGAGGCCCTTGAGATTAGGAAACTCAGTAGATTTATTTTATGTTTTAAAAGCCATTTATCTCATTTCTATTACTGATGTCAAAATATAGATGTCCTAGCGGCTCCATATTTTCTTAAAACCCAGTACCTGCTTAATAACAACAACGGCGATCTCAATAACTTTTTTATGTTTATGAAAGATGAAGGAAGGGGGGGGGGGGGTGAAAAGAGTTTGAGTCTTCTTTAATAGTACTGTACCCGGTTTAATCTATCATAGTAGTCTCCACCTGAGATCCCATCGTTTATGATCCCGGTTCACTAAAGATTCCGTTGTTTAAAGAAGAAGAAAAAAGAGAGAAAGAAACAACCCCCCCCCCAAAAAAAAAACAAAAAAAACCCCAACAAGTTTGATTAAAGAAAAGTCACGCCTAAGATCCCACTCTGGGGTCTGAATTTAAGTTCCCACACTATTTAGATCATGTTTTACTGACCAAAAAAAACCAACCTTCATGGATCATCCACACTCATACACATACATACGATCACATCTTCGTTCTAAATTTCTCGACGATTGGTAACAATGTTTGCCTCACTCACAGGGGCCTTACAATGAAAGAATCACACCCAGGTGTGGAATTTTCGACGCCTTTGATTTCTCCAAACATTGAACTACAGCAAGGCGTGATTCGGTAGGCGCAGTGCCTATAAGGCCACATCAGATGTGATCACATCGAACTGTGATTTCATCGGTGCTTTTGTTTCCCTGACCATCTATCAAGTGTGCACCCGAATTTGCTGGACAACTCCATCTTTACCCTTCCCCCAACCCCCAACCCATCACCTTTCTTGATTTTTAAACTACTGGTAGGCCGTATTTCACGACTAGTCAACATAGGGATCAAAACATAAAATTCATAGACAGTCCTTATAAGACAGCCCCCCCCCACCTGTTTTTCTCGTTCTCTCTCTCTCTCTCTCTCTCTCTCTCTCTCTCTCTCTCTCTCTCTCTCTCTCTCTCTCTCTCTCTCTCGTTCGTTTCCCCTATTGTCCTTTTCTTCTTGGCATAATTCAGCCTCTAATCGACCCCCCCCCAAAAAAACAACAACAAAACAACAACCTAACAACAACAAAACAACAAATACAACCCAAAACAAAACAAACAATCCCGATCAGAATTATGTGTGCTTTTGACATTGTAGAAGATATTATTCCGATTGCTGATAACCCGTTATGTTCTTGAGATGTTAAGCACAGCAGAGAGTAATTTGTTTTTTTTCCCACCCATTGAAGATAACTTAAATATTTTTATACCCTACTTTGGGTGCGTGTGTGTGTATGTGTGTGTGTGTGTGTGTGTGTGTGTGTGTGTGTGTGTGTGTGTGTGTGTGTGTGTATGCGTGCGGGAGGGGGGCGTTTATATTATTCCATGTTTGCGTACGACCCGTTATAAAACCATAATTTCCCTTTCAGAGCCAGCTTTCTTGGAACAAACGAGAACTCAACCAGCTATTGTTTTTTAAATCTGATCAACACACTGAAACCAGTTCACTTGGTAATTTATTTCTCTCCTCCATTCTCTTGTACATGTACATGTAGTGGCACAGGCATTAGTCTGGGGCGGGAAATGGGTGATAAGTGCTAGGCTATCTTAGTACTAAGGTAGCCTTGGTGATACACCATATTATCCAAACCAATTTATTAGCAATGTTTCAGGGTCTTTTAGGAACTTCTTCAAGTCAACGTGTTTGGCACCATTTCGAGATTTTCCAACCCACTGATATCAGCAATCTATAATGTGCCATCAGAGGGGAACTCTTGCTTTGAAAAGATCGACAATGGCACATCCATCACAATGTTATTCTATTCTATTGGCCGGCCTGGACAGTGTTGTGTTTGTTTACGCTAGGACCCGCTTGGCCTTCCAAAAGTAGTCCTAGTATTGTGTTGTTGAGTGTCAAGTTTCAGTGATAAGGTCAACAATGTGAGTGCGTTCGCTGAATGCACGCCGAGAAATATGAGCAAAGAGAGAAATCACAAGGTGGGTCTATATATGCGGGCAAGACAATGAATGAATAACATTGAATATAACATTTTTAAAAAAATTCGCGAGAAAGAAAGATGTGTGTGTTGAGTATGAAGAGATCATCTTCTATCGTTGTTTAAATTGTTGGTTAGAGGGTAATTCGGTAAGCCCCGGTAAGGGTAATTAGGCACCGCGTAAGAGTGTAAGGTGAACCTTGCCGTCTTGGCCCGGAGTTGGGTTGTTGGTCCTGAGCCGAGAGTGAGAGTGAGTGAGACTGAACTGAACGTAAAGTTTCCGTGGATGAAGAGACGCAGTTTCTGGTATGAACTGACTTATTTATTTTTATAAAAGAGTTATAAAGTAGGGCGATTGTTAAGATTCCCGCGTTTATTTCCGATGTGCGTTTTTCATACCCTCAGGCATATATTTCGCTTTGGTCCCTAACCCTAACCCTAACCCTAACCCTAACCCTGGCCCTAACCCTAACCCTAACCCTAACCCTAACCCTAACCATAACCTAGGGTTAGGGACCAAAGCGAAATATGCCTGAGGGTATGAAAAACGCACATCGGAATTAAACGCGGGAATCTTAACATCGCCTAAAGTTGGCCTACGATGTGAGTATTCTGCAGTCATTTCGTTACACCCCAATTATGTGTGATGAAATGACTTCGCTTGCCTTCTATCTCTATGCTAGATCTATATCTAGATCTAGAACTAGATTCTAGATCTAGTAGAGTTTTGGAGGATCAGCCTTAGAACCTAACTAAAGCTTTTTTGGTGCTTTTCGGTAGTTCCCACCCCCCTTATTTGAGCCTGATCTGCATCTAGATCTATACGTTTGATGCACAGCAAGCTAAGATCAAACCTAACAACTGTGAAACATTAAATATTGGTAAAATTCAGGGCCCGAAACCCCCCCTACTCTTGGGGCCAAAACCGGCGAATAACAATTGCGGGGTGGGAACTACCGAAAAAGCGCCGCTTTTTTTAAAGCCATAATGTTTAAAATTAAATCTTCTGCAAACTGTTCCATAGTTTAACATTATCTAAATAAGGAGGCGAAAACAGTGTCAAGTAAAGAGTTAAATAAGGATTTATGTTTGAAAGACATGAAGTTACAGTCAGCACCTAGCACACCTCTGTGATTGGGCCAAATATGGATGACGTATTTCCGGCATCTATTTTTGTTGTCTTCCGGGGTTTCCCCCCTCAAGACTCTTGGGTTTCCCTCGCCAGTAACTGTTGACTAGATCTCGCCGTCTTTGTCTTTTTTGTGTGTATTAATTACAAGTATTATCTTTTATAAACAGTCTTAGCAATTCTCGTTCTATTTATTTACCTTCTCCTCAAAGTTGTACACGGGGGCTCTCGTGGCCTAGAGGTTAAGGTGTTGGCCTCTCATTCAAAGGTCCCGGGTTCGAATCCGGGTAGCGACCGAAAAATGTTCTTCTCCAAATTTGTCTCCTTTCAGCTCCTTTCCTGCTCTCTAGCAATGTTCTGTTGTCTACTTTCATTTCCAATTTCTGCCCCCACCCCTTCACCTCCTTTGCCCCCTCCACTGGGCTCCTGACTCTTTCTGCAGCCTTTCTACTGCTACTCCTTGGCTCCTCATTACTGCTGTCTTTCTGCCACACCCCTGATCTTCTGGTAAGAAAGATCTACACCTAGCCTTCTCGGACAAGGGTGAAAAATCTCGAAGGGCCCGTGTGCAAGTTGCGCACGTTAAAGATCCCTTGGTGGTCTAAAATCAATAAGAGTAGACTTCGGCCGCCACCCGGGCAAAATTCAAAATTTCTTTTACCAACTGAAAATATTAGGTGTACTCATATATGACCTTTTATGCAGTTGCGAGCGCCGTAAAACACTTTACTAAAACAAACAAAGTTGTACACACACACACACACACACACGCGCACGCACGCACACCCCGCCCAAGCAGTCGGCGATGAAACCTAGTGACGTAGTCCATGGCACGGGCCCGCCACGGTGAGATCTAGTCAACTGACGAGGGAAGCCCCGGAAGACGACAAATTTAAATAGATGGCGGAAATATGTATCTATATTTGAGCCAATCACAGAGGTGTGCTAGGTGCTCTCTGTAGCTCATGTGTGTTTGAAAGTAAGGATCTAGTTTTTAACAAAATCGCAGTACCTACAGTACACTTCTATTAGCTAATTTATTTTTAACAGAACTAATAATATATGGTCTTGCCAATCACACCTTTCATCAATAATACAGTAGTCTCCGCCTAAGAGCCGACTATATAATATAATAATTTTTGTTCGGTGTGTATCGAAAGAAATGAACGTTTGCGACAACGGGGTCGTTTTTGTTTCAGCCAGGTCTGAATGGTCCAGAAATCGATCATCAAAAGTTGGTGTGGGGGGGGGGGGGGGGGAGGTTGGGGCGGGACTATTGTCTTGCTTTCTTAAAAACATTCAAGATTATCCATGAGCATATAGACCATACCATTTTTCAGGGACCTTTCGATTACACTGTGTGTGTTGTCCGCTTTCATTTGCGTTTGTTCTTTTCCAAGGTATTTGAGTTTCATAGTGCTTGACAAGATACCGTTGTGGTCTGATAAGTACAGCCATCACTATATACACGTAATGAACGTGGCATTTATTGTCAGTAGGCTTCTCCAGGAAGTTATTGACAAAAGAAGAGAATTCATTGGCAATCAATGGTCCTTCTCCTTGGTGCCAAGCGTGGCAATTCAGGTCTTTGGTTACCAAATTTAAAAAAATATAGACAGATAATTTGGACCTGTTATGATGTAGTGCGGCAGAGATGCTTTCAACGCCGTACTAACAATAAATCCTCTTCCAAGTCCATGCACACTAAACATAATCTGGTCCCATCCACTGGGTTCTGTGCAAGCTTCTTGTTTTCTTTCTCTTACCTTGCATACATGATCAGATTGATCCTTCCGACACAACAACAGGTAGCTCTTTTTAAACATATATCTGTAGTCGCCTGGGACAAAGTGTGACTCTTTCCCTTTTCTTTTGTACTCTCTATAAAGGCTTCTGAGGCTTTGAAAGTATTAATTAGTTAAGACAGATTTTGCCTGTATTCTGTCTGTAGTAATGGGAAAGCAATTTTGTCAAGTATGTCGAAGAATTACTTATCACAAAAAAGCTTTTCCTCTACTGCTCTCTGGTTATTTGACAATCATGACGCTCCCATCTCCAAGTCATGTAAACTGTTTTTGCAACAGTGATGAATAACCACTGTGTGAGGACAGTTGCATACAAAGTCATTGTTTTGCATGTAGGTAGAATGTATGAGGTTTGTTTCAAATTTAAGTGTAGAGCTGGAGAGTTGAAGTTTGTTGAAGGAAGAATTTTCGGGGCGAATATGTTTATTTATGAGTTGCTTTTTTCAAGTGACTAATTAAGTATCATTTACCCTGCACTGATTGACTAATCAATGATTCAAGAATGGTAAATGACAGACACAGCAAGAGACGAACACTTAAAGCAAATTAAGAAACCCGAAAAGTCACGATAAAAATATTTTCCAATTGTTGTACCGAATGTGAAATAAGCGCCCCTTAGCTGTCAATCAAAGACTTTTAAAAAATTCATTCGTCAGCAGCGTTTGCCACAATTTACCGACTTAATCAAGTCTGTATTAGGGTATTCTTTGATGCCATCTTGCCCTTTCTCTACTACACTTAGACTATCAAACCTGGTAATAGATTACGCAAACTACCTTGACAAAATCATCTGGCTATCGACAGGGTTCGATCTGAGTCGAAGCTAGCAAAGGCAGCACTTTGTTTTGCTGTTACCCTCCTGTCTATTTTGACAAAGGCCACAGTCGTGTGGGTAGCTCCGCCTACGCGACATGTGAACGCCTCAACAAGCCGCTGAATCTGCGTGATTCAACCGCCCGATCGCCACCGGGCTGCAAAACTGGCACTTGGGCGGTTGAATTACGTAGAAATTGGGGACTGGTGTGATACATGTATAGGTGATTGATTTACTGAAGGATTGAAACACTTTGCAGTAATCTTTCAAACTCGGGATTTTAACATAGGTGTATCAAAGGCTGTACTATTGTATAAAGGGATCAAAAAGTGATTTTCAAAATTTTGTCACTGAGCCGGTTGAGTCACGCGGCTAGCGATATATGCATTCAAGTTGTTTAAGCAATTCAACCCCTCACCTATAAAATAAAAAATAATTTGAAAAATTCTCACTCACCATGCCCTTTACTGTACTGTAGAGCTGATTCTTTTCAATGCTCAATATATTTATTTAGGAGGCCTAATTTTTAGGAAGAAAACCAGAGTAGAAAAGGCCAAGGAAATATGTGGGTGAACAGTTAGTATAACATTGGAAGTGAGTAGGCCTTGGTGGGAATAATTTTTGTTGTTATTCCCACCCGGGTTGGGTCACTTCTCACCTTTCCTATCTAGCCTAGATCTAGTTTTATAAGATGTAATACTTATACACAGTCAAACCTGTGTAAAACGGACACCTATTGTCTAGGAGAAAAAGTGGCCTATAACACAGGTGGCTGTCGTAGGCAAGACTGATCAAAATGAAGAAAGCAAATCATTCTCTTCTGAGGTCCAAATCAGGGCTGATCTCAGGCTTTATACTGCCGTAAGGCTAGTTCAAAGGGGTTTTCTGTGTTGCTGTTTAGTTGGGGGTTTTTTTCTGGCTAGCTTTCTTTTTGTTGCTGATTTTGTGCAAGGGTTAAATAAACAAATTATTTTGTAAGAAAGACGATGAAGACCGAGTGCCATGGTAAAAAACACACACTGGTCGCCACCACTCGGAGAACTAGCAACTCATCTATCGCAAGTTCACCTGTCAACGTCCATTGTTACTTTGTTACAGATTAGATTAACAAAACAGTTGCCAGTCACCTCACACTCGATTTGTGCCTGAACTGTGGGCTTTGCATATAATAGGTTATGATGGATCATGCTGCCCTCACCAGCAGTTGAACATTTCTTGTTAGGCCTACCCATTGGCATTGGTCAACTTGGGAAAACATTTATTGGAGGGACTAACAATAACGACAGGTGAATGAATTATGATGGCCCGTCCACAGCGTGATGGGCCGATTCAAAATTTTTGACAACGCGCCGGGCAATGAATGACCATGCGCCTGGTCGCCTGAGGTAGGTAAATTTGGCTTTGGGTTGATAAAATAAGGTGGCCGCGACTGCGTTGGACAGGTGACTGTATATTATATAAGGGGGAAACGCAAGGGGGGAAATGGAAAGTGGCCGTTTGTACAGGTGGCTGTATATTATATAGGTTGCCGTCATGCAGGTTCGACTACAATACAGGCTAAAGGCCGACCTCTAACCTTGGGGCCGAGAAATAGACATGATAATTCCACTGGCAGATCTAGATAAGTACGCCTCTACAATTTTATTGTTGGTCTGGAAGTATTGAGCACATTCAAATGAGAGTGCTAATGCTAAGGGGAAAAAATGTCACTTTTTTAGCTTTTGAATGCTTTCTGACTTATCAAATCAATCTCATTGAAAAGGGGTGGGAATAAGAGAGAAAATCTTATTCCCACCTGGGTGGTGGGGCAGGGTGTGAGCAAATATTTTGAAATAAATCCCCTCGGGAGGGGGGGGGGGGGGGGGGG